GAGGTGACAAGGGCATGAGTGACTGTGAGTAAAGCCTCTCGGTCCAAATAAGGCCGCAACTGGTGCACCAGGCAAACCTGGGCAAAGGTCCCCCTGGCCACAGCCGATAGATGTTGTTCCAAATTTAGCTGTGAGTCCAGGAGGACACCCAAGTTGCGTGCCTGCACTGAGGGAGGTAAATTTGCCTCCCCCAGGACTAATGATGGACCATCCAGTTGACCTTTGGGAGGCAAGACCCAGAGCCACTCGGTCTTGTCAGGGTTGAGTCTAAGCCTGTTCACCCCCATCCAGACCCTCACATCTTCCAGGCACCGGCACATCACGTTGACTGCTTCACTGAAAGGACACGGGGTGGAGATATATAATTGGGTATCATCCGCGTACTGATACCTCACCCCGTGTCGCCGAATGATCTCACCCAGCGGTTTCATGTAGATGTTAAAAAGGAGGGGGGACAGGACCAAGCCCTGAGGCACCCCATGATCGAGGCGCCTAGGGGTCGATCTCTGTCCGCCCGCCAACATCGACTGCGACCTGTCAGAGAAGTAGGAGGAGAACCACCGCAATACGGTGCCGCCCACCCCCACCTCTCCGAGACGACGCAGAAGGATACCATGGTCGATGATATCGAAAGCCGCTGAGAGGTCAAGAAGCACCAGGATAGAGGAATGACCCCTATCCCGGGCTCGCCAGAGGTCATCGGTCAGTGTGACCAAAGCAGTCTCAGTGCTGTAGCCGGGCCTGAAACCAGATTGAAAAGGGTCCAGATAATTAGTTTCATCCAAGGATCGCAAGAGTTGGGATGCCACCACCTTCACTACAACCTTCCCCACAAAGGGGAGGTTGGAGACAGGACGAAAGTTCTTCAAAACAGCTGGGTCCAGGGAAGGCTTCTTGAGGAGGGGCCTCACCACCGCTTCCTTTAAAGGTTGCAGGAAAGACCCCTCCATCAAGGAGGCATTGATTATTGCCTGGAGCCAGCCTCGTGTCACCTACTGGCAGAAACCAGCCAGGAGGGGCACGGGTCCATAAACAGGTGGCGGCATTCATTGCCCTCATGGCCTTGTCCACTTCATCAGGGGTCACAGGCTCAAACTCGCTCCAGATAACATGACTAAGACCAGCCCCCGGCAACTCGGCTGGCACTGCCCAGTCGGAGCCCAGGTCTCTCTGAATCTGAGCAATTTTGTCCGAAAGAAACTGAACAAACTCCTCAGCTCTCCCCTGCAAGGGTTCCTCCGCCTCCTCCACTTTAAGAAGGGAGCGGGTCACCCTAAACAAGGCGGCCGGGCGAGATTCTGCAGACGCAATAAGTGCGGAAAAGTGAACACGCTTTGCTGCCCTTATCGCCACTAAATAAGTCCTAAGATAGGCTCTTAATAGTGATCGGTCAGATTCAGAGTTACTGGCCCTCCAACGTCGCTCTAGACGTCTCTTGTGGCGCTTCATCTCCCGGAGCTCCTCAGTAAACCAAGTCGCCCTCCGGGGACCACCACCACAGAGAGGTCGCAAAGGCACAATTCGATCCAGGGCCCCGGATGCCGCCTCATTCCAGGCCGCAACCAGGGACCCGGACGAGTTGTGGACAAGGGAGTCAGGTATTTCCCCAAGCTCCTCCTGGAACCGATCTGGGTCCATTAGGCGCCTGGGGCGGAACCACCTAGTCGGCTCCCTCTCTCTGCGATGGGGGAGTGATGCTCTGAAGTCCAGCCTCAATAGGAAATGATCTGTCCATGACAAGGGCGAGATCTCTATTCCCCTTAATTCCAGATCATGTCTCCATTGCCCCGAGAGAAACACAAGGTCGAGTGTGTGACCACCCCTATGAGTCGGATCCTGAATTACCTGGGTCAGGTCCATGGTTGCCATGGAAGCCATGAACTCCTGCGCCGCCTCTGAGCGATCGCCGAGTGATGGTAGGTTAAAGTCCCCCAGTACCATAAGTCTGGGGAACTCCACCGCCAACCCGGCTACTGACTCCAGCAACGCAGGCAGGGCTGTTGCAACGCAGCTGGGAGGTAGGTATGTCAGCAGCAAGCCCAACTGAACCCGTGAACCCAACTTCAACAACCCAACAACCTCCGGGGCAGGAATCCCATGAGGACTCAAGGACTTCCGAGCGATGACTGCCACTCCCCCACCCCTGCCCTGATGTCGAGGCTGATGAAGCACCACAAACCTGTCCGGGCACATCTCCGAGAGGGAAACACCCCCCTCAGGGCCCAGCCAGGTTTCGGTTATACATGCCAGGTCCGCCCCGCTGTCCAATATTAAATCATGGACAAGGGGGGCTTTGTTGACAACGGACCTGGCATTAAGCAACAGCAGCCTACAACTAGGGCCCTGTACTCCCCTGTCACCAGTACTACAGGAGGAGCCTTTTGAGGGGCCGGAACAAGGAATCGCTCTAATATAGCGAGTCCTCATTCCCCAAAGATGGCCTGCCCCTCGGCTCCCGCCATATCTGCCCATCCCAGTCATAACTGGGATGCTCCGACCTTCTCCCCTCCCCGGAGTACCCCCACCCTCACCAGCCTTCTCCCTTCCTGACCGGACTAGCTTTCCATACAGACCAAGCCCAAGGGTAAGTCCCGCCCCCCCTACTTTTGCTATTGCACTCAGCAGAGGGGGTACCAGGCTCTGCCCCCGACTCCACCATTCTCATACCCCAAACACTCAATACACATTCACACTCAATTTATATACATAAAAATAAAAATATTCACATTCATACGCCCTAAATACAATAATAAAATTTATACATAACAGGGCCACCATTCATCTACATACATACACATACCCACAACAAACATTCTCTAAAAAATATTGCCCCTCTGTGTCCCAGGCTGGTCCAATGTGGCCGGCTAGGTGATCATTAGGTACTTGTCTTGGGGCAGCCCGTACTTGGCCTTATGCTCCTCAAAGAGCTGGGTCAACTTCTCCAAGTACCTCTCGTGTACCATACCTATGAAAATGTACAGCATTTTGATTTTTTGGTTTTATACTATTGTTATTTGAAACTGCAATTCTTGTTCAAATTAATGTTAAATCAATCGAAGAGACACAATGAGTCATAAAGGAATTTATTTTGCTCACATAAATAAGAATGCTCCTTCTGTCAAAACAGAATGAATCTTGACTAATCCTGGGTTTCCATAACAGTTTTTCATATGAAGATGGGCAATTGAAATTTTACAAAAAGGCACTCCCTGCACTGCTGTTGAATGGTATAGATACATTCTCAAGAGTCTACATAGTAGAAAATATACACATTTGAGTGATTTAATTATTCTTTGTCTCCTGCTTCTTCTGCATTAGAATTACTTATTTTAAAAATGCTTCTCTTTATAAAAAACAACTGTATAGATTTAAATACATATAAAGCATAAGTTTATTTAATTTTAATTAACATGAAAAGTAAATGAAATGAGATTTGTTTTTGTCTTGGCTCTACCATAACTCTTTAGAGTGCAGTTCAATTCAAATCAGACTTTATTATGGGGCAAGAACAGATCACAACTCAGATTTCTAATGTAGTAATGTAAAGAAAGCTGTGAATATTTCTAGTATAAATTAGAAGTCAGAGGCATTATTAACAGGTATCATGTCTAATGTAAAGTATTATTGGTCTCCTAGGATATCTCAAGGACATCCAGGACAACTTGGTCCCATCACCTGCTGATGCTTTTAACTGAAGACCGGCGGACTAAATCTGGAACTTTTCTTAAATGCACTATCACTAAACTACATCACCTTTCCTTATAAAAGGAGATATATTTATTAACATGTATTTATCAACAAGAAGTCCTCTTTATCTTTCTCAGATAACTGTAACTTTAATTCAAGGTTATTGCTTAATAATTGCTTAATAAAAGCTTCATAGTGTGATTTGCCAATCTGAAAGAAAGCATTTACCCAACCATTTGACAGAATTGCTAAGCAACAGTTCTCCAGATTCAAAACAGCTCTTACTTCTAAAACAAAAATAGAATTCTATTCAAATTCATCACAGTTTGTGAAAGTTACAAGGAAAATATATGTAGATGGCTATATAATTTACAGACAGATTCTGTCTTTGCATCTCAGAGAGATGAATATTTGGACATAAAACAATTCCCAGATTTTTGATAAAAAGTAATAGGAAGAACATGCCAAGTACAGGTTCATACTTAGCAAAAACTGCAGTCTTAATAACAGAAACATTGTTCAGATTGATTCTTGCAAAAATAAGATATTGAAATGCTAGCAACTAGGCAGATGTTTGCACTTTCAACAGCTACAGCATGGAAAATTTCACCAAATATAGTTCCTTCCAGTTGTGTAATAGTAACATCATTTTCTTTATCCATGTTAAATATTTGCCCGAAGGGGCATGAAACAAAGCAACATTTACAAATTAGTATAGTCAGAAGAATTTATGTATTTAATTAAGAAAATAAGCAAACAAATATCTTACTGTAATCTCTCTTACTAGCCTGCTGCTTCTGCCTTTGCTAACCAGCAATTAACATAAAATATTATTATAAAGTTACAAATCTGATACACCGGTGTCTGGTCAGTTATTAAGGAGATACATCCCTAGAGGAGACAAGCTTGCCAGTGATGCCAATACTCATGGCAACTCCACAAGGAAAATCAGTTGTCATTGTTTTTCAGTGGTTTCCCATAAAAGCATTGTATTTTATAATTTTTCCAAAAGTTTATTTTTAAGTTGGAAATGCAATTCAAGATTTATTGTAGCAGCATCTGTGAAGATATCAATTTAAACTTGGGCCTGTAATCCCTATTATTTTCATCTCATTCAGTCCAAAAACTGAAGAAACTTTAGATGTTCTGATAATTCTCATTACAGACTAACAAATTCTTCTTTAAAATCAAATCTCATATCAGGTAGAATAAATTGGTTTGTCCTTAAATCCTGAACTAGAAACTTATCATGCTCATATGTCCAGTTCAATTCAAATCAGGGCTGATTCACATAGATTAATTAGTAATCTTACCTGGTGGACTTCCATGACAAGCTGCAGCTGTAGCAATAGCAAAAGCAGAAGCAGGAGAAACAGAACAATAACCATTGTCAGTCACCTGTACTGCAAGGAAAATAAAAATAAATACAACATCAGCTGACATTGTTTTATAAATTAAAAACACCTCACTTCACATTGTTTATAAATAAGAATCCATTTGAATATCTCTGTGCATACTTGATATATATAACTATATATAACTATATAACTACCGTATATGCCGGCGTACAAGGCGACCCGGCGTATAAGACGACCCCCGTCTTTGGCGCCAAGTCGCATTCCTAGAACATTGTCTTATATGCCGGAAACTACCAGTATTTCCGGCGTATAAGACGACTCGGCGTATAAGACGACCCCCAACTTCGGCGCCAATTTTAACGCTTGCGGAAGTCGCCTTATACACCGGCATATACGGTATATAACTATATAACTATAACTATATAGAGATAGATAGATAGATAGATAGATAGATAGATAGATAGATAGATAGATAGATAGATAGATAGACAGATATAGAAATATAGATATATCTATCTATCTATCTATCTATCTATCTATCTATCTATCTATCTAGATATAGATATATAGATATAGATATATAGATAGATATAGATATATGTTTGCTTTGAATTTTAAAATTATATATCTTTCTTTCTCTCCTGCTTCTGGAATGCTGAATAATTTTTCATTATTCCCAAAAATGAATCAATTTATAGAATCTTACTGTATATATGAATTTGTTTGAATTTTCCAGAGTCTCTATACAGTATGTTTAGTCTTAATCTTTATGATAACTCAAAATGAAAGCAAATATTTCTACTCCAATTTCATGACTTTGAGGAGTATACAAGAATCTCAACAAGCAATCTTGAAATAAGTTACTATAAAGAAATAAAAAAATAAATAAAAAGATGTCTATCCCTCTTCCTCATTAGGAGTCAAAATATTAAAAGCCTATTTTAAAAGGAAAAATTTAAGCCTCCCCAAAAAGCATGTCTCCAGGGGCTACATGTTCCATAGAGATGGGTCCACCATTGAGAAATTTTGTTTTTGGGCTATACCTCTGTCACTTCACATCGAGATAGTAACCAAAGCAGGCCTACACCTAATGACTTAACAGGATTCCACAACTTTATGTTCTTTAGGCTCAAAACCATAGTACTTACTTCCCAGGTTTCCTTCTGTTTAACAGTAATGCCTGTTACTGTTCATATTCTCTGTATTACTGTAATAGCTACTATCAAAACTCTAATAATTATAATCCAATGTATGTGTGTGTGTGTGTGTGTGTGTGTGTGTGTGTGTGTGTCTCATGAAATTGATAAACAGAAGTGATCACCAGGATAAAATCATAAACAGAAAAACAGAACTGTTTAATCTACAAAAGTACTAAGCTTTCGTCGGCCACCCTGCCGACATCGTCAGAGTATAAAATGCTGGATCTGGGAGTCCGTTTTTATGTGACTGGCTACCTCTGCGCCTTGACCCTCGATCAGGTCATTGGTCCACTCATTAGCATCGGCTGTGTTGTTCTTAAAGGGGCCGTTTCTGAAGTTACTCTCCCCCCTCCAGATATTTTTGTTCTCTTGGTGCGTATACAAGTGCCTGGGGATCGGCTGTCAGATTGCTTTGTTCATCTCTTCCCACCACCCCATTCATCTTAGCTTGCCTCCATGTCACCAAACTGCCTAGTGTGTACGTTTCGAGTGTCGTTCTCCCGTTTGCCAGTCCTGTTGTTTTCCTTGCACGTGTGTAAGCCTCTGGGAATTGGCTATCCCGTTGTTCCTGTCTCTTACTCCCCCATCCCACTGTCGGGTGGGCCCTATAAGTGTCAAAGGGTTGCTTGTTGGGTGCGTCTTTGGAGTCACCCTTCTGCTCGCCAACCTTGTTATCCCCTCGGGGGATAACAATCTGACAGCTGATCCCCAAGGTTAAGGTTATTGTTAACTAGTGAACTAGTGAAGCTATCTTATTTATTCTCTCTGCAGTTTCCTTAACAACTAGTTCCTAGCTTTTCCACCGGATTAGGACATTTATCTATGCCTTACATACAGAATACACTTATTATTAGGTACAGGATAATTTTTTTCTCCCTAACAATAGTAGGTATCTTCCTCACACCTGGTGGCAAAAATGTGCCCTCAGCTTGTATCACACAAATCTGTCAGAAGACCTTAGTTAATGTTTTTCTCAAACAAATGTACATTTTGTTCAAAATATTCCAGAATATATCCTCATAGCTGAATGGAAATTTATCTTACTGCCAATGTCAATAATATTGAATGGTATTATTTCCATTTTCTTTTCTATATACTGTGTAATAAACAAACATTTTAAAAACAGTAATTAATGTCCTAGAGGGGAAAAAATTTAAAAAGAGAAACAAATTCAGAACTAAGTGATTTATACAAGAGTTCAAATCCTATTGAAGTAGCTTAATTCCATGCAGCAGTATCCTGTAATGAAGTCAATATTTTCATATTACCTCCTGTCTGCCAGTAACGTAGATGTCGTGGAGTTGAAGGGGATCTACATGGAGACAGCTCAGGAGGATCTACTGTTGAGGCACTTTCTGGGATAGGATGATCAACTGGTACAGATTCCAAAACTCCTGCTATTAAAAAAAACAAGAACGCTAGAAATATAGGAAACATACTAAAACTCTTATTCTTATTCAGCGTGCAGAAACAAATGACTGAAACACACTTTGAACATGTATTTTGTACCTGGGCAGTATAGAGCCAGCATTTATAATTCCACATATAAAACATATCATTGAAAGAAAAATATATTTCAACAGGTTTTTAAATTGGTGAGCACAATATCAAATAATTCATGGATCAACTGGGTGTGGTGTGTGAGGTATTCGATGGATACAAATTGTGATAAAATTGCAGAGGTTTCTATTTGAACACTATTGTAAAAGTAAGGCTCTGCATTTAGGCAAGAAAAACCAAATGTACAGGTATAGTATAGGGGGTACTTGCTCAATAGTAGTAACTGTGAGAGGGATCTCAGAGTCCTAGTGGACAATCAGTTAAATATGAGCCAGCAGTGTGCTGCAGCTGCCAAAAAAACCAACACAGTGCTAGGCTGCATTAACAGAGGGATAGAATCAAAATCACATGAAGTATTAATACCACTTTACAATGCCTTGGTAAGGCCACACTTGGAATACTGCATCCAGTTTTGGTCACCACGATGTAAAAAAGATGCTGAGATTCTAGAAAGAGCAACAAAGATGATTAGGGGACTGGAGGCTAAAACTTATAAGGAACAATTGCTGGAATTGGGTATGTCTAGTTTAACGAAAAGAAGGACGAGGGGGGACATGATAGCAGTGTTCCAATATATCAGGGGCTGCCACAAAGAAGAGGGAGTCAAGCTATTTTCCAAAGTGCCTGAAGGCAGGACAAGAAGTACAGATGGAAACTAACCAAAGAGAGAAGCAACCTAGAACTAAGGAGAAACTTCCTGACAGTTAGAACAATTAACCAATGGAACAACCTGCCTCCAGAAGCAATGAATGCTTCAACACTGGAAGTTTTTAAGAAGAGACTGGACAGCCATTTGTCTGTAATGGTAAAGGGTTCCCTGCCTGAGCAGGGGGTTGGACTAGATGATCTCCAAGGTCCTTCCAACTTTATCATCATCATCACCATTATTATTACTGTTGTTGTTGTTGTTCAATAATTAATCACTATATTGGTATAATTTTGGCAACCATATTATCTATGTGGCAGTGCATACTTAAAGAAGTTGCATCATTTCTTGGGCTTGATACAGCATCCATGCAACCTAGGGAAAATACATTTTCGGATTAAAGAGGTGCCACCACAAGGTACTTTGAAGTGGACAAAGGTACAATGTCAGCATCTCCTTAACTCAATTCAACAATTCAACAATAATTTAGGGGAATGTGATACTGTACAGTTGGAAATAGCAATGTTGGGGATTTTTTTGCACCAGTTCTATTTAGACAGTCTAAGGGTGCATACAAAACCTCAGAATCCAGGTTAAAGAAACAAGGAAGGTATTTGAATTATAAGACAGTTTAATAAAAAGAGAAAACATGTAGCTCACTAGAATTTATTGTTTGCAAAACCATTTTAGTATTAAATGTTAGCTGAAAAAAGCTTTTCTTTTCAGTGTTGAGATTTGATTTAGTTCTACTTTTATGAAAAAAAAAATCCCTTCATCGATCAAATACTTCACACTAATATTTAAAATAAATCACCACTGAGTTGATTTAGTTAAGAGGATTTTTTTCTACAAGATTATTCTCTTTATAATGTTATTCTAATACAAGCTTGGAAGAATAGACAAGCTCAGATATTATCAGCTTAATAACTGAGGTTCTATCCATCACAGGAGATGTCAAATATTCCCCATGGTATCACAATCTAGTATATCTTTCACACTGTTATTAGACTCTGTTTTACTATTTAGGGACCCTCAAAGGATGCTCCCTAAAAATAATGATGGTTCTGAACCAAAATTCCAATTTCTTCTTCCAGAAGACTAAAATTCAGAATAATAAAATCATGACCATGAATTGTTTCCAGATGTGAATTTACTGTGCTCCATTTGTTGCTTGGGAAAGCACTTGATAATGAAGAACAGATTTGACTTCTAGATTTAACACTTTATTTGGCACTGATCATTACTTTTATAGTAGAACGTTATATCTTTTGTAAGGTAAAAACAATTTCCTAACAGTGATGGCTCAACAATGGAGCCAGTTACTCAAAGGAATAGTGGACTTCCATTCATTGGCTGGATTCAAAAATAGCTAGAGGGCCATCTATCCTGGGTATCTTAAGCATTTGACTTTCTGCAGAGAGCAAGGAGTTAGACATGATGTTTTACATGTCTCCCTTAACCCTGTGATTCTCCCATTCATTATTAGCTTTCTCACAAGATTAGGCACTTCTTCAGTAAATGCTCCTGAACAATTCTTTTTTATTTATTTATTTTTAACCAACAAGACAAAACAGAACAAAACAAAACAAAACACACATACAAACAATATATATATATATATACTCCTCCTTTTTTTACAGCAATTACATAACGGTAATCTAATATTTACATTTTCCCCTTATTCTTCTTTAGAATATTTGTCCTTATAGCCCCGTTATCTCTTATTTACATTTTTCTTCCTTCATGTTCTACTTCTTACTAAGAATAATTCATATTATTATTATTATACATTATTATACACATATTTTCACTTTTGACCTTTCCATATTTATTCTCCTCTATTAATTCTAGTCTCCAACCAGACATACAACTTGTTCCATACTATATAATACTCTGTGTCTTCCTTTGCTTTTATCTCTTTTGTTAATTTGTCCATCTCAGCACAGTCCAGGATTTTTCTTATCACTTCTTCCTCTGTTGGTATATTCTTATTTTTCCAGCACGGTGCATATGCTATTCTTGCTGCCGTTATTATATGTAAAATTAAGTACCATATTTCTTTACTATATTTTCTATTTAAAATATCCAACAAAAAGATCTCTGGTTTCCAGTCTATGGGTTGGTCTATTATTTCTTGGATCCATTTTCTTATTGTAGACCAGTATTTTTTTGCAACTGGGCATGTCCACCATAGATAATATGTTCCATATACTTTTTTACATTTCCAGCACGTTGGCGAATTATTCTGGAACATCTTGGCAAGCTTTGCTGGTGGAAGATGCCATCTGTAAAACATCTTCAACTGGTTTTTCTTGAATGCTGCCGACATAGTCAATTTTATATTTATTTCCCATATTTTTTCCCATTTCTCCAATTCTATATTATATCCGAAATTTTCTGCCCATCTAATCATTGTGTCTTTGACAACCTCGTCTTCCATTTTATATCTCAATAGGTATTTGTATAAATTGCTAATTAATTTTATTTCTGTTCCATGTATAATTTTATCCAATTCTTGCAGCTCTTTTTGGATTTCATATAATTTTTTGTCCTCTTTATATTTAGATTGAATTTGTGTAAATGTCCACCAATCAATCTCTCTGCCAATGTCTTGTTCTCCTGAACAATTCTTTAGGCTATCAGAAAATCCAGGTATCTCATATTAAAAGCTAAAAATTGCAACTTAATATCTGTATCAATTAGTTTATTTTGAATAATTCTTTTATGTCAATTATTGATATGATTAACCTTATACATTTTAAATATTACTGATATTTATTTTTTAATAAATCACTGGAGATGTGTTACATATGTCCCTTCTTGCTTCAAGCACTCTACCATCATCCTGATTCTTAAGAGATCCTCCTTCAGGAGCTAAATGACTACAAGCCAGTTGGTCTGACATCTGTAGTTATGAAGACCTTTGAGAGATTAGTGTTGGCCCATTTAAAAATCATCATAGATCTCCTGCTAGACCCCTTACAGTTCGCCTACTGAGCAAATAGGTCAGCAGATGATGCTGTCAATATGACACGGCACTACATCTTGCAACATCTTGAATCCCTGGGGACTCATGCATGGGTCCTTGTTGTATACTTTAGCTTGGCATTCAATACCATCATTCCAGAAATTCTTCACTCTAAATTGATTCAGCTCACTGTGCCTGTTCATACTTGTAGATAGATCATCAGCTTTTTGACAGATAGGCAGCATCAGGTGAAACTAGAGAAAATTACATCTTGTACCCAGACAATTAGTACAGGTGCCCTCAGGGCTATGTGCTCTTTCAGTTGGTCTTCTCTTTCTATACCAATGACTGCAACTCAAGGGAACTCTCTGTTAAAGTACTGAAGATTGATGATGATACAACATCTTCAAGAGGGTGATGACTCTGCATACAAACAGGAGGTTGAAGAACTGGGCCTGAGTGCAGCCAGAACAATCTGGAGCTGAACAAACTTAAAAATGTAGAGATGAGAGTGGAATTTAGGAGGAGCAATTCTATTCTACCACTTCATCTTATATTCAACAGTACAGTATCAGAAGTAGAGTCCTTCAAATTTTTGGGTTCTATAATCTCCCACTTAATATTACAACCCTTATTAAAAAGGCACAACAAAGAATGTTCTCTCTGCATCAACTCAGGAAGTTCAGACTGCCCCAGGAACTGTTGATATGGTTTTACAGAGGAATTATTGAGTCTGTCATTTGTACTTCTATAAATGTCTGGTTTGGTATAGCAATCAAACAGGAGAGGGACAAACTCCAATGGATAGTTAAGACTGCAAAAAGAACAATTGCAATCAGCCCATCTTGTATATTGCGTAGGTCAGAAGGAGAGCTGAGAAGGTATCTACAGACACCTCAAATCTTGGACATAAACTGTTTCAATTCCACCCCTTGGAATGCCACTACAGGTCACTGCATGCCAAAACTATTAGACACAGGTATTGTTTTTTTCCCTCATGCCCTTCATCTGCTGAATACCTAATTCTCACAGTGCTGTTAATGTCTATATATATTTACCCATGTAGTATGGCTGTAGTATTATCATGTATCCTTCCTATTATTTTCTTTACTCCCCCTTCTTATTGGAATGATAATGAGGAGGATGACAACGACGATAATGATTCTGTTGCTTTGCATGTACACCGAGAGCTTCTGCACTGGAGATAAATTCCTTGTGTGTCTAATCACACTTGGGCAAATAAAGTATTCTCCTCCTCTCCTCTTCTTTTCTTCTAATGTATATACTGCTGCCACAGAGCAACATTGGCAAATGGCGTAACAGCTTTTTTTGCTTCTTTTTAAAAAAATAAGATTTATTATAGAACTTTGGGAGCTTCATAACTGTACAAAACCTCTACGAAACATCGTAGGAGTCATCCTCCTATTGAATACAATTATTTATGTATTTTCTGTATTTTATTGGTGTTTTTATTGTACTCTCACAATAAATATTATTAACTCCATATTTTTGTGTTATGAAAATATATAGCAGAAACATATTGAAAGAGTGTACCTTAGTAACCAAGATTGATTGATTTAAACAATTTATATGGCACCCATCTAAATGACTCTGGATAATACACAGAAAGTTTAAAACCAAACTAAAATCAATGATTCACCTAATCACAGTCCAAAATCAAGAAAAGCATTTCAAGTTACCAATTCAACAATAAACTGGTTATCAATCAATTAACAGAGCTTGTTAATTCCCAGTCCAAATGCCTATAGGAACAGTTGTATTTTAAGTCACTTACAAAAAGTTAAAATGATGGGGACTGTCCAACTATCTGAAGAGATGCTGTTCAACTGATCAGGCATTGCAAAAGAATGCATGACTCCTTGTCCAGCAAGATGACATTGCTGAACAGAAGGGACCTGGAGCATGTTCCCCCTACCAGATCTGGTGGGACAAACAAAAACATTGGAAATAGGAGGTCCTGCGAGTTACCTAGTCCTATGCTATATAGGGCATTATAAGCAGCAACTAGCAGCCTGCATCATACTTAGAAGCCCATTGGGAGCCAGTGCAGCCTATGAAGCAGAAGCAAGCTTTGTATTTCATGAATGCAATGGGAGACACCAAATATTGACTATACTAGTGTCTTTTGGATCATCTGAAGTAGATGAGAGGTGAATAAGGCATGAATTAATCTAAGTCCCCCCCCCCAAATCCAGAGACATATGCATTTAACACATATTCTTTGCACAGAAGTAATGCACATTTCTACACTTCAGGCTATTCTGTTTATTGGAATTAAATTCTGTTTGCAATACCATTTACTCTGACCATGGACAATTTCACATTTTGAAATTTTTCATTATGACTATACAACTAAAATAGCTCTTGTTTTCCCTTTCCTGATAAATGGGATTAGCTTTTTTCATTAAAAGTAATATATTTTTTAAAAAATAGTAACAGAAAATCTCTAATTATGTCCACAATTTGCCAGTGACTCCTTAACTATAGAATGTTTTTAAATATAAGAACAGAGACAAGATATTAAAGCGAAGCCTATTCTCTAAATTATTGTAACATAATACATGGGACTTTGGGAATTCAGAAAACTGGAAAATATTTTTATCCAAGTATTGAACTATATTTTTCACAAGGTAGGTTAGTACAGTTATTCTGCATCTAATGTAATACACTTGAAAAATGCAGACTGTAGCCTGGGTATTACTAACTAGAATCTATAATAAAAAGGTAATATATATACTATGTGCCATATGATATACTAACTTTTGCTGAAAATAATCTCAGGAACATTATTTATAGGTAGCAGTCATATAACAACCCTAATTGGATCAGAATTTCCATTGTCAAGCAAAATAGTTGTTAGTTGAAACATCATGTGATTAGGCTTTTTAGCAATGGCAATTGCAGTAATCCCAGTTGTGGTCATTAGGTGAGAACCACACCATTAGGTGTGGCCATCATGCTTCTCCTGCTTTGTGCAAAGGGCAACTCGATCCCGCTGCCTCCTTCCCAACTAGGCCCAGTAAGTTCCCTTTGGCAGGCAAGGCCCTGCTCGTCTGTCACACTCATACACATTCATAATAGAAGAACTAATGAAAAGTTGCGGGGGAAATTGTGCAATATTCCCAATGAATGATCCAAGGGAAGAAAATTCTATTAGGTGATATGAATACATAAATGGGAAATGAGACAAAAAAATAACAGAAAAAGTCACATGGCTGAATCAGTATGGTAACTGGGGGTCTTCTTAGAAAAAAACCAGTTTCAAATACATTATGTATTCATATTTATATACTTTAAAGAAATTAATACAAAACTAAAAGCATGATTGATTTGATTGTTTATAAAGAACAATATAATATACACAAGGCTGATGAGAGGTTATACCTGTTTTATCTGATAAATATATATATCTGACAGTGTCAAGAAAGACATCTGGGGGAAAATGAACATAACATAAAATAAAAAAGAAAAGAAAAGAAATAAACTAAAACAAAATAATCAAAGGAAGAAACAGTATGAAGAGATTCCCAAAAGAATGAATGTAAAGTGGAAGATACGCCTTTAAAATATTATTAGCTTCATCATAATGGACTATTGTACTGCAGTTACAATGCACAAAGAGTGATGCCTATACAATCTCTCCCCCCCCCCTTATAGCAATAGCAGAGAGTCAGTTTGACTTAGTGATTAAAGCCCCAAGGAGGAAACCAGGAAACTGAATTCTAGTCCCACCTTTGGCATGAAAGCTATCTGGGTGACTTCAGGCCAATCACACTCATTCAGCCCAATCCAATTTACAGGATTGTTGTTGTGGGGAAAATAGGAAAAAGGAATACTAGTCATGTTCATGTTCTTGAGTTATTTATAAAAATAACAAATGCAGGATAAAAATCCATACAGCATATGCACCTAATAAATAAACACTAAAACATGTGACTGACAGTAATGCATTTAGGCAGAACATTTTTAAATTGTCTCAAAAAAAACTTGCATCTGGCTATGCCTGATAACAACTCTTTTGCAATATCTTCGGCAGAGTTTAGGGGATGTCAATGTCAGTGTTCTGTTTAAAAGGGCTTTAAGTGTGGGTATGTCAAGTGAGGGTCTGTGGTGGGTCTTGTGATGGGGCAGATGTGAGTTATCAGTGAGTCTTGTGATGGGTCTTGTAATGGGGAGGTTACCTCAGGTCAGGGACATTGAGAAGTGAATTGCTGGAGGTGGGGAGGGGGCTTGCATGGGTTGGATGAGGGTCGATGCTGTCTCCACAAGCAATTATATCGACAGACACATTGATCTACAACCACCTATGTACCTCTTAGGATCCAAATCAATCAGAGACAGCCAATCAGAGCTCAACCAGCCTCTTAACCAAGCCCTTTCAAAAAGAACACTGACATCCCCTAAACCAGTGGTTCTCAACCTTTCTAATGCCGTGACCCCATAACACAGTTCCCCATGTTGTGGTGACCCCCAACCACTTATACATCACCAGGTGCCAGGGGCATGGCCAAAGAAAAGAGGAAAAAAATGGCGGACAGCCTTGTTTGGCGACTCCCGTGAAATGGTCGTTCGATCCCAAATGGGGTCCCGACCCACAGGTTGAGAACCACTGCCCTAAACTATGCTGAAGATGTTACATAGCTCGGTAACTAAATGTTCAGAAAGCAACCCACAAGCTTGGAGAATGAACTTGCACCCTCAACAACTCTTTTTCTAGCCTAACTGTGGATCCTTGCATTGGTGAAAGGAGAAAACCTTATTTTTCTAATATTGCTTTCTATTTCTTTTCACAGATACATTTAAGTGAAATAGTGGCATCAGAAATCTGGTGGGTAGTTTTCATACAAAATGTCAGCAAATCCACTTTCACTATTCTAGAGTAATCCAGTTGCCACATTAATCATAGTAAGTACTCATTAACTGCAATATATACAGCACCTTCCCTAACTTAGTTTCTAGAGACTCCCAAACTTTCAGAGAGCATAAACATTAGCTGCTGCCTGGATATCTGGATATTGTAAGATTTCTAATCCCCACACTTGGAGGAAATCACACTGAAGAAGACTGCATTATAAAGTTGTTATATAATATAATGAAATAAATAAATGATAGACAGACAGACAAATACCTCTTCGAATACTTCTTCGTAGCTTATTGCAAAGCTCATTGCGTAGATTTTCGGAATTGTCTTCTGAGAAACCAGGGCTTTGCTCTGGAGATGAAGGGCTTTTGCTTAGATCCAGTGGCACTTTAGTTGACATGGGGGGTGATGATGTTCCAGGGCTGTATGTTGAGGTAGGACTGCTAACAGAAGAAGCAGATAGATCTAATGCTCCTATTCTTGAATTTAGTGGAGAATTTAATGATAATTTTCTTGTTCTAACAGGTGAAGATGTCCTAGAGAGAGATAAAGGTGGAGGGGAAGAAAACTTGCGGCAGAGGTGTGGCGACTTTGCATCAGCCATATGTTCTCTATTATTTTGATTAGTAGCAAAAAACAGTTCCAAAGACCTAGAAAACAAATAAAAAATGCAGAAATAATTATACCGTACCAGAACTGCCTTCAAAAATTCTTTAGAAGAAAATACATATAACCAACATACAATTTGAAAAATCCTAGAAAATGAAACAACCAAGATACAAAACTAACTTCTATAATCTGCGATTTTATTAGGTAAGAAATCCCTATGTGTTAGGAAGATCAAGCTACCTAGTTAGGATCTAGTTGGTGCTTGTCAGGTATTCAGATCAGCAACAACACTGGTCAGAGAGATTAGACTACCACATTTAGAATAGAACAGAGCTGAAAGGGACCTTGGAGGTCTTCTAGTCCAGCCCCCTGCTCAAACAGGAGAACTTATACCATCTCAGATAGGTGATTGTCTAGTCTCTTCTTCAAAATCTCCGGTGATGGAGCGCCCATGATTTCTGGAGGCAAGCTGTTCCACAGGTTGATGGTCATCACTGTCAGGAAGTTTCTCCTTAATTCCAGGTTGCTTCTCTCTTTGATCAGTTTCCAACTATTGTTTCTCATCCTTCCCTCTAGTGCTCTGGTGAACGTGACCCCCTCTTCCTTGTGGCAGCCCCTCAGATACTGGAATATTGCTATCATGTCTCCCCTACTTCTTCTTTTCTTTATACTAGCCAAACCCACGTCCCACAACCATTCTTTGTATGTTTTAGTCTCCAAGCCTTGGATCATCTTAGTAGCTCTTTTCTGAATTTTTTCCAAACTCTCAACATCTTTTCCGTGATATGGTGACCAAAACTGGCTGCAGTATTCCAGGTGTGGTCTTACTAGGTTTTTATAAAGCGGTACTAATACCTCGCATGATCCTGATTCTATGCCTCTGTTTATACAACCCAGGATTGTATTAGCTTTTTTGATTGCTGCTGCACACTGCTGGCTCATAATCAAGTGATCGTCCACTAGGACTCCAAGGTCTCTCTCACAGTTACTGTTTTTAAGCCAGGTCTCGCCCAATCTGTACTTGTACCTTTGATTTTTCCTGCCTAAATGTAAAACTTTGCTTTTCTTTACACTGAAACTCATTTTGTTGGATACGGCCTATTGTTTAAGTTTGTATAGATCTTTATTTATAGGCAGGATCATTCTTTGCCAGAGACCTAGTCCAAGATACCTATCTGGAAAATGTGAGAACACAACATCCGAACTATCTACTACTTGGCTTTTCTTTTTTAAAAAATATTGCATCGTAGAAGTTCTGAATAACACATAGAAAATTTCCAAAACTACAGATAGTCTTCAATGTACAACCTTTTGTTTAGTGACTGTTTGAAGTTACAACAACACTGAAAAAAGTGACTTATAACAAGTTTTCACACTTATGACCCTTCCAGCATCTCTATGGTCACATGATCAAAATTCAGTTGCTTAATAACTGGTATGTATTTGACTTCCGGTTTTGGGTTGCAGTGGGTGCAGGCACACGAAGAGACTCTCTCTCTTCGTTACCTGCTTTTCCTCTGCTAGTAGACCCTTAATCGGGTCGAAAAGTCACCCTGGAGGGGTGACTACCGATGAGGAGGACTCTTGTTGATTGCGGGGGGAGGAGGCAGCTCCTTCTGTGGTCCGAGGCAGCTCCTCAGGGCTGATGGAGAAAAGATCGGCCAGTAACATGGCCGATCATTTAGCTGCTCCAGCCGAAAGTCAAAAGAACATCTAAGCATTAAGAAACCATCGTGGATGATCCCAGTGAGACTTTTCCCTCTCTCTCTTTGCCTAACTACTCTCCTGTTAAAAGCCTTGTGTCATTACTTCCCTGCTTTGAAAGAGCTGCCTTTGTTTATCTGGGAAAAACAGCTTTCCATAACAAAGGAAAAAACTTCTTATTGGCTATTTTTATTTTTGGTTACGTGGGGGCCCTGGAAAAATCCTTATCATAAAACTTTATTATTATATCTTCCAAGCTGGAGAATATTGTTTTCTTATGTCTTGGACTTATTTTTTTAAAGGGATAAATCTTTATAGTTTGGAAAAAAAAACTCTATGAGAAGCCGGAAAAGAGATTCCATAGCTCTTTGACTTTGCTAATCTCATTCTTGGTGTCTAGATGAGACTTTCATAGTTTACTGAGGGCATCTTGTGGAGAAATTTAAAACTGCAACCGTTTCTTGTTTGTATTGGTCCAACAGCTGTTATTGGTGGGGGTGGATACTGACTAAATATTTTGGAATATAGCCTCCACTAAAAGATAACAGGATTGGATTTAGTTACTACTGAAATGGAGAAACCATATTCACAACTCAACTGTAAACTCATACTGGAAAAAATTTATGAAGCTACTGAGGAAATATGTTCCAAATAAGAGAGAGAACTGCAGAAATAATGGATTGATTTAAGGACTAAGATTTAGAGTTGAAAATTTGTGATTATTAGAATATATATGTTAAATAGAGTAAGAATGTATTTTTTGGAATATTATGTTTATTTGTATGAAAATTATTTTGTAATGGAATGAGAGTAAGAATATGAAAGAGGTTTTTAGAGATTCGGATTGCTTTAACAACTAATTGAGTGTGTTAAGTTAGTAAGATCATGTTTTCTGTAATAATAGGTGTGTTTTTTTTAGACATGATAATTATTTGAATGAGATTTAAATGCTATCTGAAGAAATAAGAGAGATTTGTGATAAAATCAGTGATTTATGAGATTATGAATTAGAATATATCTGTATTAGTATTTTAGAAGGGATACCCAAAGTGATAATACATTTATCTAAGATTAAATTGGACTATGGTAACTGTAAATTAATAAAGTTCAAAACAGGATTAGGATTTATAGATATGTAATATAGAAATGGATTATGTTAAATAGGTTATATTATTTGAGGGAAATAGAGAGGGAACATTTAATGTATTTACTTGAGCTATTATATGATTTTGTTTTTGGATGATTGATCACCTAACCACCACAGTGTGTCTTGAGCATTCTGTTGTAAAAGTTAAAAAAAAAAACAATAAAATTTGTTATAAAAAAAATAACTGGTATGTATTTATGGCAAGTGCTCTGTCCCGGGGCCATGTGATCCCCATTTGTAACTTTCTCAGCTGGTTAATACTATGGTAAAAAAAAACCTCACTTAACAACTTGCTTAATTAGGAAAGGAAACTTGGAGCTCCAAAGTTGAAGACTATAGTATTTGTGGATGCAATTTTCTACAGAAAAAAATCCAAGACAGAATCTCTTTCTGTCTCAATATATAGATAGCAGTTCACATATAGTGTTGTGCATGCTTCTTTCTGCATATGGAAAAAGCTCATTATGGCTCTGGAATTATGGCTAAATTGACAGGTTAGGCTAAGATAAATTTTGGAGGTGTCTTGTGAAGTGAGTTAGACAAGATTGGTATACTTCTTCACTCTCTGCATTATTTTTGTGTCAGCCTGTTCACCAGTCTTTCTAACGCCTTCCTTTCCTTTATCACTACCCTTGAATCAAGCATGGCATACCAAACCCAGTTCATACTTTCCTACTCTGCTTTTTACCTTTCGTTATAGCTGTTGCTGTACTCTGCTGTTATGCACTACTATTAGTGGCTTATTGTTTCCTCATCATTTTCCATTTGGACAGAACATTGTTTATTTTAGGAGAGGCCAAATTCACTTTATTATATCTATGTGTTCAATAGTCATCTTTATATTCTGGAGAACTCACTATTGAGTTAAAGATACCACATAACTTCCCCAGGAGTGGTTGTCCAAATAGGACTGTGTGTCCAATCAAATTTAATGGTTTCTGGTTGATCAAAGCTGATTCAATGTGTGTTGAGTGCATTTGAAAATGTAGGTTATAACCTTCAAAATCTGAGATAAATAAAGGAACAGCCTGTCCACTTGGAACCTGACAACTGAATTAGAGATTTAAATTAACATGCATTGAAGAAGCTAATATGGACATTCTGAAATTTCTTTTGCAAGTAAATTCTCCACAGTAATTAAATCACCTGCTATTGAGGGATTAAGGAATCTTTTAATCCTTTGATTAAACAAACAATCCTTTGTTCTATCAAACCATTAATCTATAATGCACTTTACAGGATGACTATTATTACCAAAATTTCCATAAAAATAATAAAGATTTGTAAAAGTAGGAATCAACTCACCTGACAGGGATTGAGGTGAAAGGCCGTTTGTAAATATCAGACAGTTTTTCTAGTACAACTGTTGCATTAGTAAATATGCGGTAAGTATGTAGGAAAGTATTAAGAAAATCAATACTGAGAAATCTCAAGTCTGTTAATCTTTCCAAAAGGCGTTCAACACTTGCATAACGAATCTGTGGTACTTTGCAGGAGTTCAGAGTTTTGCTGAAGCAAATGTCAATGTCATCTTTATGAAGACGGGCATCAGACCTACATAATATTATTTGAAAAACATTAAGAATTATTGCATTGAAAGTCAAGTATCATTTTATTGCAGATTGTCTTTGATACGAAGAAACAAATTATTATCTTAAGTAGATAATTATACAATCAAAATCATATTTCTGGCCAATGGAATAGTCTCATGGATTCTCTGTGGGCCAAATTTCAATATGGAGACATGAGCACCAATGTAGAATAGAATAGAGCTAGAAGGGACCTTGAAGGTCTTCTAGTCCAGCACCGTGCTCAAGTAGGAGAATCTATACCATTTCAGATAAGTGACTGTCTACTCTCTTCTTATAAATCTCGAGGCCCTTGATTTATGAAGGCAAGCTGTTCCACTGGTTAATTGTCCTCACTGGTAGGAAGTTTCTCCTTAATTCTAGGTGCTTCTCTCTTTGATTAGTTTCCAACCATTATTTCTTCTCCTGCCCTCTGGTCCTTTGAAGAATAATTTGACCCCCTGTTCTTTGTGGCAGCCTCTCAAATACTGGAATACTGCTATATCACCCCTATTTCTTCTTTTCTTTAGACTAGCCAAACCCAAGTCCTGCAGCTGTTCTTAATATGTTTTAATCTCCAGGCCTTGGATCATCTTAGTTGCTCTTCTCTGAACTTTTTCCAAGGTCTCAACATCTTTTTTGTAGTATGGTGACCAAAATTGGTTGCAGTATTTCAGGTCTCTCTCACAGTTACTGTTTTTAAGCCAGGTCTTCCTAATATGTACTTATACCTTTGGTTTTTCCTGCCTAAATGTAAAACTTTGCTCTTCTCCTCATTAAATTTTATTTTGTTGGATAGGGCCCATTATTTAAGTTTGTCGAGATCTTTTTGGATCCTGGTCTTGTCTTCTGGTGTGTTGGCTATTTCTACAAGTTTAGTGTCATCTGCATATTGATGAGTTCCCCTTCTATTCCCTCATCTAAGTCATTTATGAAGATACTGAAGAGTACTGGACCTAAAACAGAGGCTTGTGGTACCCCACTGCTTACTTCTCTCTATGTAGATGTAGTACCATTAAGGACTACTAGTTGAGTGTGGATTGTCAACCAACTACAAATCCAACTGGTGGTGATGTTGTCTAGTCCACATTTTTCTAGCTTACCAAGAAGTAGGTTGTGGTCTACTTTGTCAAATGCCTATTTATCTCTTGTTTTGCCTGAAGCCTTCTAGCCTTGTTGACTTTAAATTCTTTATTTGAAGTCCTTTGAAAAAATATACAAAGAAAAAAATCCTAGCCTTTAACATCATTTTTACTTCCAAAAATGACTGGTTTGTAACCCACTGCTTTCTGCAAATATATCCAACTGGCCAAATAACAGCAAAAGTAAATCAAATTGAAAGCCAAAATCCTGGAAGGAGATTCTATTATTGGTCACATCTAAAATAGTAGCGATATTGCAGGGTTATTTATGAGATGTACATGAAAATTTAGCATCCCAGTGACCAGTAACTTGTAAATCTTGGCCCCAGAAAAATCACTTTAAAAGATAGATCATGGTTGTCAAACTCGCCACGTCACATGACCTGTCGCGACATATCATGACTTTTTCCCCTTTGCCTTGGAGTGGGTGCAGCTTCCATGTGACACATCCGGCCTGCAGGCCAGCAGTTTGACACCCCTGAGATAGATAATGATAGATAGATAGATAGATAGATAGACAGACAGATAGATTGACAGACAATACAATGTAACACTTTCCAATGAAATGCAGAATTAACAATACAATTAAATAAAACTGCTAATTTTTATTTAATCTGTATTTGAATTTAAACAAAACTGCACAACCATATGTAACATTAGGATACAGTTATACTTACTTGATCATATGTGGCACAGTGACTTTGGAATTTTCTTCAAATACTATTGTCATTAAACCATTGCACCGTATGTTGTCAACACACTACACAAGTTAATAAAAAAAATTATAGATTCATTTTTGCTAAATACTATATATCTCAGATCCTACAATTACAGAAAATAAAATTTTATCTGGAAAAAATATTTAGTTAGTAGGAAAGATAGAAGGGATTGAACTGCCACATTTTTAACATTTTCAGAATTAAAACTAAACTTTTTATTATTCAAAGTCCCTGAAGTTGCAAATGAGTTGGTGTGCTGTAGAAATTAAAATGTTGGAGCAGAATAAGGAAAACCAAGATTCACATCTATCTTCAACCCCGGAAGTTCATTGGGTGGCTTTGAAGTGAGCTTTATCTCTTGGTCTACCTGGATAAAAGCCTAGAATATCATTGCAATAAATAAGCAAATGAATGAATGAATATTTGGTTTATTCTAAATATATTTCCCATCTCAAAATGTATCACTCATGAAAACATTGCAAAACCACCAGTTTTAAATTCCTTTTGCATCAGGTCATTCAATCCAAAGGCACTGAAAACAGCAGCTCCTGATTACTGGAAACAATTGATGCTTTGAGGCCTCTGAAATAGCAATCTTCCATAGTCATAAGATTACGTTTCAAAAAGTGACAGTCTGCTGCTACAGATCTTTCCAGGAGCTGTTAGCAATTGGGAAGGCTCAAAACAGATTGGGGAATTAATAAGTTCACTCTACTATCTCACATTTTTTGAACTTTATCCACCACTAGTTCCATTTACTGCTCTGAGGCAATATAATTTCCAGATAAGAATATGAAGGCAACTAGTGGAATTGCTTCAGAGTGTGAGAAAGTCATGTGAGGTACTGAACCAAGCTAATGAAACTTTATTTCAATATTAATCTTTCAGGACATTATTTCTAGGATGGATTAAGATCAAATTCAAATATCAGCCAAAAATGAGGCCACTAGACTTGAGCCTGGCCCAGCTTCCTCCATCTTAATAATCATCGAGGGTGTGTCAAGGTATAGGGGGTCAGGAAATAGGCCTGGCCACAACAACTGAGCTGTTAATGTCGTTCATACATACATAATTGGCCAGTCATGTATTAGTTACAAATGTTAATTTCACTATTTTTTAACTTTAAATATTTGAATATTTTTCAACAGGTGGGTTGGAAATAAATGTGTTAATACATTTGAAGTGTGTTTAAAATATGAAAGTGTGCTCAGTCTCTTTTTAAATAGAGTCTTGCAAACAGACTCTTTCTGATCCATTCAAACATACTATGCTTGTGGAAGCAGTTGTACAGACTGGCTTGATACATGAATCCATTGCAATCTATACAGAACCATTCATTAAGGCAACAAACCCAAAATCTAACAGTAGTGGAACAAGGCATGACAGCTACCAGCAGAGGCCCAGGCCAGGCTGGAGAATCACTGAAGGAGTGGGAGGGAGTCTTCTGGAAAGCTTGGATTGATGGGATGTTGGATTGCCAGAGAAATGTCGCCGGAGAAGAAGCATGCAGCATGGCATTGTGTTGTTCGTCAGTTAGCTCAACACAGAGAGGTTGGTGTCTGGTGATACTCTTTTGAATTTAACTTGGTTGGTGGCTGGGCAAGGCTCAGCTTTAACTGAGTCCCCATCAGAACTGAATTTCTCCATCTCTGGAACCAGCTTTGAATGCTTTGTATGGACAGGTTGTGAGAGTGACATGGAACTTTGGGTTGCTTTTTGGGAGTGAAACATGAAGGGAGTGATGAAAGAATGTTGAATTGAGAGGATGAGAAGACTTAACTATGAGCCAATGAGAACTCTCAGAGGTTCTGTGATACAGATAACTGGATCTGAGTCCTTCTGGTTAGGGTTCAGGTTTAGGGGACAATTGGGATTGTTGTTGTTGTACTGGCTTTCCTGCTTCACAATATCATCTTTGTCTTAACTAGATTCCATCACCAGGCTGATCACAGAGACCCCAAGATTGTTGGTTCTTGGGGACTTAAATTTGCTACCAGGTGACATTGAATCAAGATAGCTCAGGAGTTCATGATCTCTTTAGCAGCTAATCACACTTTGGATCTTCTGCTTATTTTCTGCTGCCTCCAGAAGACTTGAATGTTGTTTGTACAAGTCAGCTTCAGGTGCCTAATTGTAACAGTCTCCCCCCATCCTCCCCTGGAGGCTTGTATTCCTCTGGGGTATCCTGAGCAGTTTTTTTTCCACACCAGACTTCTTTGAATCTGAGCTGGCCACCACAGGTGAGGTCAGCCTCACTTGGTCATATATTTTGTGTTATCAATATGCAGATGATACCTATTGTACATCTAGGCCATCCAAGTGTTGCTGGTAGTGTACTTTCCCAGTCTCTGGATGCTACACAGGCCTGGATGGAGTTCAATCATAACCAGATCAAGTGACTGTGGGCCAGGACTCAGACACTGACTCTGAAGAAGCTGCTCCAGCTGAATCAGTGGGCTGTTAATCTCAAGAGACATCAAGTCATGAATCATTTGAGATTCATCACTTGAGATTGATCAAGAACAGCACCATCAGAACAGCTGGAGAAGTCAGATGATGAAGTAATGATGAAGGATGGCCTCCAAGCCCTTGGATTCAGTGAGAAGACTGCAGACAATAGCAAAGGCATTTACTCAGACTCTTTCCCAAGAAAGAACTAACTAGTCTAATTAAAGATAGCTGTCTGAAGCCTGATTTAAGCCAAGACCCATGTTTCTATGTTGGAAACAACCAACTGAACTACTGTTCTGACATGTCGTTCCTGTGAATCCTGCCTGTGAATCCTGTCGTTCCTGTAAAACCCTTGAAACTCTGGCCTTTGGACTAGCTGACAAATGTAACTTAACTCTCTGACCCTACTGGATTTTGATTTCTTTTCTGTATGTTCCTGAAAGTGAAACTACTCATACAAACTTTCTTTCCTAGAGACTCCGTTTTAATTTACATTTCTCTCCTGCTGTTATCTACTCAAGCTTGAGCAAATTGCTATTCTCACCCAGCAACTCTGTATGGGTGTGAGATCTGAAACAGCATACGTCATGCCCTGGTCACCTCATGATTGGATTACTGCAATGTGCTCTAAATGAGGCTGCCCTTTAAAACTACTGAAAGTAGCAACTGATTCAGAATGTGGTGGAACAAGTAGTAATGAGTGTGTCATTGTGAACTGTACTAACACCAGTAGGCTTCCAGGTGCAATTCAAGATGTCGTGAAATGGGCAAAATGAATAACCTTGCAGAAAAGAAGAAAGAGTGCAACCAATCATCAGATAAATGAAACCTGAGTCTGAGGAAGAGCTGTAATCCAAATAACCATCTCAGACAAGATCCTCCCTAGTTCTTATAAAGGAAGGGGAATGCCATTGATACTTGCAAGATTCTGTTGTTGTAACTTTATAATAAAGTATTATAAATATACATGATTTTGGTTTCCTACACTAGTCTACTTGAAAGGCTGATGGTTGGTTATTACCTTTAAAGTCCTTGATGGCATAGGGTCTGGTTATTTCAGGGCTTGCCTATTTTCAACAGTGACTACTCATCCAGTAAAGTACATCAAAGTGGCTGCGCTTTGGGACCTATCAATTAAACAATGTCACCTTTTGGGGCCTAGAAAATGTGACACCTTCTTTCTGGAGTAGCATTGCCTCAGAGCTCCCTGGGCTCTCCCGCTGATAATGTTCCAAAAGGCACTGAAAACCTTGCTGCTCTCCTAGGCCAAGGGTGTCAAACTCGCCACGTCACATGTCGCGATGTATCACAACTTTTTTTCCATTGCCTGCAATGGGGTGAACGCGGTTCTGGCATAACACATCCGGCCTGCGGGCTGGCAGTTTGACACCCCTGTCCTAGGCCCTGGGATAGGGTGATGGGAGAGCCTTTGTAAGGGTCCATTATGTTGTTTCACATGGCTTTTCTGGATATACATATTCTATTGTTTTAACTTTTTTATTATATAGAACACAGACAACCAAATGGAGTCAGACATTTTTAAATCTATAAAATAAATAAATAATATTTCCCTGTTATTGTTTCAAATACAGTAAAATAGTTGGCAGGAAACAGTCAGCTCTAGTTTTTCAAATTTAGCACACAGAAGGTAAACAAGGATATATAACCATGTGGCCTCAGAGCTTTGCCCTTTAATTTAAGTTCCATTAAATAATGACAAATAAATTTAATCTGCAATTAAAAGTTTAATTGCATAATATACCAATTAGCTGCAATTATAATCTAGTTACCAGTGCATGGAGAAAAAATGAATGCTGATTTGTTGGTTTTTCTTTTACTATCAGATAAATTCAGCTCAGCTGAGCTGATCTGCAGTAACTAATGTAAGTTTTGCAACTTTAACTGAAAAAAATATTGTTTTTGTAGCAACACCATGAAATATTTATTGGCAGTTATGTGAGTATAATCTGTATTCCATCTATGAACTATTTTTGTACTCAGTTCTTGGCACTTCTGTACAAAATCGTCTATACTATTTAAAATATATAAACATATACAGCATCTATGCAGTATAATCTTGCATAGTAACCCTTCCAAGCTACTGTCCCATTTTCTTATTTTCATTGCCAAAACCTATTTATTTTTAACTATTTTACAATTAACACAATGAATCCATGCAATCAAAAACATAGACTTGGTACAGTTGTAACATAAGATCAAAAATAAAGGCCATTCCAGAATATCCAGATTTGGCCACTTTCAATTCTCTTCAATCTTCAATTCAATTTTCTTTGGAAACTTTTTCTGTGTGCAGGAACAGTTCCATGCAGGTGAAAATGTGCAGATACAATAGATTTTTAAAGAATTCTGGAAAAGTAAATTAATGACATCTGCATGCAATGACTTTGTGCATAAAAACTAAAGACAGCTTTTTCCAACCTGGTACTCTTCCAACTGAATTGTCAGTCAGCATAGCGATTCACAGTTCTAAGCTAAGCTATTAAATAAAATGAAAATGATCTCTGTGTGAAAACAGTTCATAGGAAAATTGGGGCTTGTTTTTTTTCATAGTATTTAGAAACCAACTACTGAAACTTAAGAAAGTCTTATTTTATGTTATGTTCCTCTTCTATCACTTGCTCTTTATTTAAAAAAAATTTTTTTTTAATTCTTAGGCTGGGAAACAATAGCAGCCCAAAGTCACTTAATTGGCTTCATAGATAAATAATGATTTAAATGAAGAATTTTCCACTCCAAACGCAAGACACTAGTTGCTATGACAATGGGGTGCAGTGGCCTAGTGGGGGCGCAGTGGCCTAGTGGATAAGACAGTTGGCTTGTTGATTGGAAGGTCGGCATCCCATGTGATAGGATGAACTCCCATTCTTCTCCCAACTGCTGCCAACCTAGCAGTTCTAAAGCATGCAAATGCAAGTAGGTAAATAGGTATCACTTTGGTGGAAAGGTAACAGTGTTCTATGTGCCTTGGTGTATAGTCATGCTGGCCACATGACCATGGAAGTGTCTTTGGACAATGCTGACTCCCTTGGCTAGGAAACAGAGATGAGCATCACCTCCTAGAGTCAGACATGACTGGACAGGGGAAATCTTTACTTTTACTTGCCACTCATTCACCAACACTGCATTCAAAGTAATTAAACAATTATATTCTGTTAATAATTCATACATTTTATAATGAGATCCAAGACAACACTAATGTGCTAAATGAATTATTGCCCCTCCCCAAACTGATTACCTGACTAATGTCACTGGTCCATGCTGCTTTTTCCTGCCGCGAAGGGGCTAAAAGGACCACTGTAAATGGAGGTGCACCTGCAGGATCTACCACAATTTTGAAGTCAAGGTGCCCAAATACTTGCCCAGAACCTTTCGCTTCATGGTTGAAAGAGAAACAGAATTTGGCAATTAGAGATTGAAATGCAGAGCCTAGATTAGATCACAGTGCAGAGACAAGTATTTTCCATAGTGATGTATACATATGGCCAAAATTCAAATTTCAAATTTAGTATCTTTGACCAGTGATATTTTTAAATAATGCAGACTCATGCAAATGTAAAATATTTTTGGCTCACAGAATTTATAATTAAGCAAATGAAAAATTATATTATGTGTTCCAGTTAAAACCTATTCACCTGAGGCAAAAATATATATATTTGACTCTATTGTGACAATACAGCATTGACTTTTAATTGACAAGACACCTAATTCAGAGCCTACTCTGTGCTAATCACATAGCAGAGCAAGCAAAACAGAGGTATAAACTGACTAATTTTTATTGGTGGGGAATGGAAGGCTTCACACACTCAGTACTCAGAGAACACAGACAAATCTCCAGGTGGCCTTAATGACTCTCTAAAAAAGACAAATGACCAGCTGTCTACAAGGAATATAAATCCTTCCATTCCCTGCCATCCAGTCAGATCTGAAGAAGCTTCTTGGATGAGAAGTGAAACGTCTTCAAAGAAAAACAGGAAAGTCCAATTGCCTCCTGAAAAGTACCTTTGGGATTTTGGATTGCCATTGCCTTCTGCCTAAAACTGAGAAATAGTGACTGGTTAAAGTCACCTGGCTGGCTTTGTCCTTAAGGCAGGACTAGAATTCAGAGCCTCTCAGTTTCCAGTCTGGTATAGTGATAAATAAATTAACACATATATACATACAGCTTCGATTTCTTGAATCAGAATTTTTATTAGAAACACTCTATTTATACTAATTTCATTAAGCAAAAAAAATAATGCTATTTTTTAAAGAAAATTTTACAACTCCATAAAACAATTTGACAGAACTTACATTCATCATCATTCATATCAGTTTCCTCAATCAGTGTGCATTCTATTAGTGAAAGGACGCCTCCTGCCTAGAGACATAAATTGCATTTTTTTCAGAAATCTATTTCACCACTCTTCATTTTAAAAGTATATAAAATTCTATAATGTAAAGTACAATCCATGAACACAAACCTAGAGTAAACCTCATCCAGTATATTTCTGGACAAGGTTCCTCATTGTGTGTGGTGGTGGGGGGAGAGATTGAGAGCTTTCAGGTCAGTTTCAACTCCTGACAACTGACTGGACAAGTCCCTGCACTTTTTCTGGCAATGTTTTCAGAAACAGTTTGCCACTGCTTTCTTCCTAGGTCTCAGAGAGATGAAATGGCTCAAAATCACCTGTCATGCATACAGGAGGACTAGATTTTATATTGTACATAGTGTAATGCATTATTCCAATCACTAGATGAGTTTCTTAAATTAAGTAAAGAGAACATTATTATTTCCAGCAAAGAATGTGGAAATGATGGACCTCCTTTTTCCAATTAAAACAATTCTGTGTTATCCCAGTTCAACTGAAAATAATTTTACTGATAAAATTAATAAAAACTGCAGTATTTCAATACAGCAGAAGCAATGTTTTGACAAAATAAGCAATATATTTAAATAGGAAATTACAACATATCTGAATGTATTAATATTGCAATCCCATAAATATTCTGCAATATAAAGCTATACTAGAAATTCTGTATTATATTTAAATGTTCTATAAAGTAATTGAAAAAAACTTGTCAAAACCAGAATGATGTCAGATCCAGCCCTGACGCAGCAAAATCCAATCCTTTATTTGCTTACATCCGATGGGACAGAATTTGCCAATGTATAAAAGCAACCTGAATAAATATATCCTGAGAGACCGAATACCCCAAAACCACTCCACTTCTGGCCTGCCCCCACTCCACCCCCTGCCTGCTCCCCGCTCTGCCCACCAGGCCACTCACCGCCTCCACGGCCCGCAGATCACCCAGGTGGCCCTGCAGTGCCATGGTGGCCATACCCTCCACCCACACCCTGCAGCATCATCTGTGTGCGATGGGACGTGAGGGCAGAGTCTTGTCCCTGCTGTTCGGTTGCCATGTGCTTGGCTGCACTGTTCCGCGTGGCTGCACCCGGTGGGGGCTGCTGGTGAGGAGAGAGCCACGGTGCTGGGGTGACAGCATGCGTGCCTACAGAGAGGGCTCCGAGTGCCACCTCTGGCACGCATGCCATAGGTTCACCACCATTGAACTAGGGCATGGCAGCCTCTTAATGTGCGCTTCTCTCTGATGGAATGTACTGCTTCCTTCCTGGGAAAGCTCTGTGCTGCCAATCCTCCCCTCTACTGCTTCTCCACATGCACATTTCATCACAAATAATGAAAATACAAAATGTTATATTAAAAGGAGAAAGGTGGTCAGAGAAAAACATTGAGGGAAGAAGCAGAATTTTAATGCCAGGTGGTAATTTCAAATTACCTGCTGGAGGATATTTAACTTAGGAAGGCACAGATGTGGAAATGCATGATAATCCATCTGATTCTTTAGAAAATATTTTAATTATTTTCTGAACTATACATTCACTTTATAATATTTATTTTAAAAACAATTAAAATAAAGGAAGTTTGGTCTTAGAATTATTCAGATAAAACAAACCATCATATATAAATACAAAAAGTTCCCTTAAACATGTTAAAATTATAATTGGAAGTTCTGATTGCTTGGCAGGCAATAGTGTTGTCTTCTTTTTGCAAAGATTTATATTATTTTACTGCAATTAATCAGAACAGTTATATATTTTATTTTACTATATGTTCTACAATTCACTATTCTAGTCATAATTTTTGTTACAAAAGTATGTACCTTAAGTAGATGCAACTTTCCTCCAGAGCTCCTTGTACAAATTAAAAAGTGCTTTGTAAATAGAAAACATTGCCTTTCTCCTTCTTTTTTCAAAGACAATGATCCCAGGCGAACTTTACTAAGTTTTCCCCTCTCAACTGATGGGACTTGAATAAGAGTTCCTGGTAAGCAGAAAAGCAAATAATACTCTGTAAATTTATAATACACATAAATAATTCTTATTTTTTATAGTTTACAATAAATTCAGTGTCATAGATCTGTAGCCAACTAAATGACAAATTTAGATGACCATATAAATCTTTCCATAAAATATTTGGCTGCAATCGTGAAATCAATTCAAGTTATCAAATGTAATAATGCACAAGATTGTAATATATTCCTTATGCAGAACTATAACATGAAACCCAAGGTCCAGTACCAAAACTTACCTTGTCCTTTGCTGAGGACAGTTTTCTGTTATAATATATAAAGCTCATTTACCAACCAATGGAAGGACAAAAAACATAATACACCCTCCTCAAAGCATCCTCAACCAACTAATAGTGGCTGAGTATTGTGGAAGTTGTAATGCCAATGTATTTGGAGACTAGCATATTAAAAGAGTGCTAACACACTGTGACTAATTAATATATATTTCTTTTATATATTTCTAAAAGGGTTTTAAGTCTCAAGTTTAACCAGCAATAGAAGCAAAAGCAGAATAGAAAAGGAAAAAGTCTGGATTTGAAAACAAAAGTCCACAAATGTGATCTGGTTTCATTCTTCAATATTTAAGTATATATTATAAGGTTAGGGTACAAAATTATGCATATAATTGGATGCACACTTACTAGTTCTTTCCTTAATTCTGTATTACACTACATTTTTCTATTTTCAGAATTTATTGGTATTTTGCTACACGCTAGAAATGGTTGTATTTTGGTTTTATAACTGTGTTATATAATTTGTATTATTATATTTATTTTGTAAACAGATACATTTTATATTTAAATATGAAACAAACTTAAATAAAATAAAGAGGATGGATGGTTAAAGAAATATCAACATTAATCCCAATTTATTGTCACAATGCTATAAAAAGGGTAATTTGGTTATGTGCAAACACAGATTTATTCCAGGCATTATGTTAAATTCAGATTAACTGAAGATTAAAACCAAGCCTCTCCAATCTAAGACGATATCCACTATATCACTGTGTTCACATGCTGAATCAAGGGTCTTCAAATGTGGTTTGCTTGGGTTTAGAGTTATACCCACTCATGGATTATTCTAACAGATAAACAAGGCTAATAATGTGTGTTCAACAAACCAAGAATAAAAAAATGTAGCTTATGATGCTACAAATCTCTAAAATATTAAATAGATGCAATGACATAATACTTATGTGAGGTTAACTCTAAATGAAATCACTATATTAAAATATACCTGAGATAAAGTTGAATTATATACTTAACATATTCATTTATTGTAATGTAAATTCCACTGACGTTTGTAGCCCTTTCATCCAAGTTAACCAGGTTTACTTAGAATTGGAAATAGCAATCTTTTAAGTATACAGCACTCAGACATTCTTTTAAATACAGAAAGCAAACACAAACTTCAATTACAAGTATTCTACGATTTACTTTGTTAAGTTGCTGTGAGAAAACAATATTGGTGATTTTCTTTTTGGTAACAACACAGAATTCTAAAAATATTAGTCAATATGAGCAATATAATACACTAAATGTAATTTTGCTATATTATAGTTTATTGAATTTCAATTTTTTAGACCAATAAATAAAACTGACCCAAGACAATACACATTGTCTTGGATCTATTTAAACAAGATGCTGGATCCCAACAAATACATTCATATGAAGCCAGTTGTGAAAGTATTTTAATATGGACACCAACCAGTAATGTAAAAATATGTGTCAGTGCATCCGCTGCCGTCCGTCAGTAAGAGTAAAGGAACGCCGGTACACACTGAGCTCATCAACCGATTTATTGTGAAGACGAAACAAAGTCAGCACTGGGAGTGGTTTTCTCCCAGTGCTCTATAACAGTGTGCCACACCCCGTGCTCCCGCCCCCAACCCCAAGCCGACATCCGCCCAAATCTAATATATGCCCCACCCCTCCCCTGCGCTCTCCCTTTCCCCGACGGAGCTCCACCCCCGCACCCCTCCGTCCGTGTGTCCGGTCCGCGCGTTCCTCTCCCGCCGCCACGCTCTCCCTGCCTACTGGCCCGCCTGTCTGGTAAGTATTCCCCACCCTCAGCCCATGCTGGATTCGCCGGCAGGGGCTTGGCGTCCGGGAAAATCCCCTCGCTTTGGTCCTTCCGCGTTGACGCGCCAGCGTTCGCCTGGCCTGCCGGCCCCAGCTGGTCGTCGGGGAATCCCGGGCTTGCCGGCATCAGCTGATCTTCGGGGGATTCCGGGTTTGCGCGCGGACCGGTGCCCGTCTGCGCCTGCGCGTCGACGCGAGGAAGCAGGTCTGGTGTGAAGCCCCGTTCGCCTCGGGCTTCAGCTGCGGCAGCGTGCGGCTCGGCGGTTCTCGAGAGTGGTGGGCTGTCATCTGCTTCCCCCCATCCCCGTGTGCATGTCAAGCCTCCAGGAGCTTGACAATATGTTCTTTCTATACAATAGGTCACAATTTGCAAGATACAAACTGATCTTTTAAAGAAGACTCGCTGTAATAGTAAAATTCAGAGGTAAATCTTTTTCATGAACCCCATTTAAATGAGGTACTTAATGAAACTTGATTCCAAATAAACATATTTTGATACTTTCAAAGTTATTGTGTGTATGTGTGAGAGAGAAAGAGAGAAAGGGAAAATAACAGAGGTTACCAATGTGATTTAATAGTTAAGGTTCTGGATTAGCAGTTGGGAGACACATATTCCAGTTTTCCTTTAGTCACAGAAACCACCTGGGTGACTTTGTGTCAGTAAGTCTCTCAGCCCCAGACCAGGAAGTCAAACAAATCTATTTACCAACCACACTGGATGAATGTAGTAGATTCTAGTCCAAAATCTTTAATGATTGATTTGGGATTACAGCAATAATAATTATAACATATTGTGTGTATATGCATAGGCACAAAAATAAACAGGCAGTGAATACATATTAATATACTCAAATATAATACAATTAACACACATTAAGAGTCATACACATTAGCATAGTTCTATAAAGATTAGCCATGATTAGTGATTTAATAAAGATATTAAATAATATTAGATAATAAAGGTATTAATAACATTCACTTGCCTTTTTGTAGTCTATGTACAACAGAGCATTTTTAACTTTAAATATTTCAAGCATAATCCCCTCACAAACATAAAAAGATCAAGACATCATCAATAAACTTATTTAATTCCATGCTGTCAGAAATATTTCCCAAGAACCCAGTTATCCAAAGCATCTGATAAGGATGCTTCGTAATAAAACCCTGGAAAATGTTTTAAAATAATGACAATGAATCATGTACTTCATCCATGCAACAATGTTGACAGACTCTACTTACCATAGAAAATAGGTGGGTATGGAATGTTGCAAGTACATCAGATGGTTGAAGAAGAAAAAAGGGCATTAGAAGAATAACTGAAGGATAGTGAAGAAGATGCACTGAAGCTAGTATACCAGGAAGGCCTACTAAGTACAGGACAGACCAAACTGGCCTACAAGAAAGACCAAATGAAGAACAGAAAAGAGGCATGGGAAGACAAAACATTATATGGCCAGTACATTAAAAAAAATAGCAGGGGAAACAGATAATAACAAGACCTGGCAATGGCTAAGAGCAGGAAAGTTGAATAAAGAGACAAAGGAGTTAATTCTGGATGCACAAGACCAAACCTTAAGAACAAATGCATATAAAGCGAGAAGTGAGAAGACAGCAACAGATAGCAAGTGCTGCCTTTACAAAGAAGCTGAAGAAACAGTGGATCACCAGGCTAGATTGCCCAGACTGACTACAAACAACAGCATGACAAAGTAGCAACAATGGTGCATTGGAAGATTTGCAAGAAATACTATTTGCCTGCAAGAAAGAACTGGTGAATCTATAAAATAGGGAAAGTAATAGAAAATGAATAAGCTAACGTGCTTTGGGACTTTAGAATTCAGACAGACAGGCACCAGCTATATAGCACCACACACTTAACAATTGTTGATAAGAAAGACAAAAAAGTCTGGCTAGTGGATGTGGCAATACCTGGAAGCAGCAGAATTGAAGAGAAAGAATTGGAGAAAATAACAAAATATAAACATGTGTAAATAGAAATAGAATGACTATGGCAAAAAAAGAGGTAGAAATAGTAGTAATAGGCGCCTTGGGTGCAATCCCAAAACAAATGGAGCATCACTTAAACACCATCAGCATTGACAAATTCACCATTAGTCAATTGCAAAAGGCAGCTTTACTTGGAACAGCTTACATTCTTCAATGATATCTGTAACATCATCAAACATCCATATTGGGTCTATGACAAGTTGCCACAGCCAACTCACTGCAGCCAACTCGCCATGACCAACTCACCACAGCCAACTCACTGCCAGACAATTTACCATGGCCAACTCACCGTGGGACAACTCGTTGCAAGACAAAAGTTACATTAATATCAAAGAAATGATGAAAAAGAATCATTAAAGAAAGGATGCAAAAGAAAGGACAGAATGAAATATGAATGGTAAAAATTAAAATAATTTTTAACTTATTTTAAATAATTAAATAGAATTGTTAAATTGTCCCGCAGTGAGTTGTCCCATGGTGAGTTGGCCATAGCGAATTGTCCTGTGGTGAGTTGGCTGTGGCAAGTTGGCTGTGGCGAGTTGGCTTTGGCAAGTTGGCCATGGCAAGTTGGCCTCAGTGAGTTGGCTGTGGCAAGTTGTCCCATTCCCTCCATAACTGCCTATCCCAGATCCTCTGGGAGGACCCAATAAGAGGACAAAAATATCAAATCCAATCTGAAGATTTAGCTGTCTGTGTGATGAACTTCATATGTGTGTGTGTGTGTGTATGTGTGTGTGTGTGTGTGTAGGCACAAACGTAAACAGGCAGTGAATACATATTAATACATCAAAATATAATATAATATACAGCATTAAGAGTCATATATATTAGCATAGTTCTATAAGGTTTACCCATGATTAGTGGTTTAACATTAATAAAATTCACTTGCCTTTTTGTAGTCTACATACAACAAAATCATGTTTTTAGTTTTTAATATTTCAAGCATAATCCCCTCACAAACATAAAAAGATCAAGACATCATTAATAAATTTATTTAATTCCATGCTGTCAGAATTATTTCCCAAGAATACAGTTATCCAAAACTGAGTAGGCACACATATAATAAGGATGCTTTGTAATAAAACCTTGGAAGATTTTTTTTTAAATTCATATAGATGTACTGACAAACACTAAAAAACTCTGCCAAGTACCACAGGAAAATCTTGATAATATGACCAGATAAAACCTGCAGTATTGGCATTTAATTAGAATTGTTTTATTCATATTAATTGTTCATCTTGTAGAACAAGTTTATTTTCCACACTTCATAAAAGAAAGTTCTTATCATAAAAATATTAAGTATAAGTGAATGAATCCTAATACTAAAATATACTCTTTTATACGAGTGCCATGACTCAAACTTCTGTTTTATAGCTATTTCATTTTCAAATCATGGAGAGAAAATACAAGGAAAACACTGATTTGAAGAATTTACTTTAATACCAACATTTAGAAGTTGTGTGGATGGAAATAAGATTATTTAAAACACTGATACTTTAACATCAAATTATAGACATCTAAAATTCTTCCAGTCATTCATAGTATCCACAACAAAATCTGTTCTTTTCTTGTATTTATTTTCCTCCTTTCCTACATTCCCTAGCAGAACATACCGTATTAATCTAAATCTATTTTCTATACTATTTGTAGAACTGTTTTCTACTACAATAATCTGGAATTTTTATATAAATTTGGAAATCTGTGTTAGCTTTCTGTAGAAATTATCTTTGGAAAAAAAAGAATCCAATCAAATATATCTATAAAATTTCCTATTTGAGGATATTCTGCAATGCATTTTCCACTGGGTAATTTAAACATTTTCTCCATCTCCACTGCCAATGTTACAAACAATGAACTCCTTAGGAACATAGAGACATTAAATCAACAGCTTATATCCGATGTTGGAATCTGTTTTTCAAAGAAAACATTCCATTAGAGATGGGCAAATGGCTTTGGGGTCTCTTAAAACAAACCATTAGATTGTGGCCGTCATTTCGTTCTATAAAGTACAAACACAAAGCAACCATACATTGCTTCAGCATTTTCTATAGAACAAATGGGATGTGCAATAAATAGGTTACAGTGATTGCTGCTCTCCATGATTTCAGCCAGCCAGATATGTCTTCCTCTAGTATTTCTGTTATTATCTGCTTAAAATTGTCTTTTAATTCCTTGAAGGGTTCTACCCATTCTTTATACTTCTGCTACCAGTTCTTTATACAAACAGTATTAGAGTTTCATAAGAAGGAGAATTTGGAGAATTAAGTACACAGTTAGCATATATGATAGCAGTTCACACCACAGTTATGTAAATAATGTTTTAGAACATTTGGTAAGCTTCCACAAGGACTACAGAGAGATCTTCCAATTGGCAGAACTGAGGCAAATCAGAAGATATTTCACACTATGATTTTAAAACTCTGTCACTGTAAATGATTTTAATTTAAAAAGAAATCAAATTATATCTGTTTGAGCTGTTCTAGAAGTACAAATGAAAAATGGGAATAACAAACAACTATTTTCATTCCTCACAATCGCTCCACCATTTGACAAAGCTTCAAGTACTTCAAGTTTCTCCTGTGCTTTGGCCCGAATGTTGGCATCATTTGGGATTGCAACATCTATCGGCCAGACAGAATTATTTTCCATGGTGCTGGAGATAATTTCTGGTCCACTGAAGATGATAGTCCGGTTATTGTGTATGTGACTTTCCCATGGGTGCTTTATTATTATAGTGCTGTTTTTCATGTCTCCTGGAAAAAAAACAGCATAGAGGTAGGGCTCAACAGCAGCCCGGAAATTACAAATATATAGATGCGCAGATGTCAAAAACAGGTATTTTGCATCTTATACTTCCCAGTGATGCCAACATAAACTATCGTTTTCAATTTCATTTTTCCTTCATATTCTATAACTGCATAATCAAAACATGCATGGTAAATTCATTGGTCTTACCTTGTCGTATAAAAGTCTGGCTGGTATCCAATAATATGTCACAACCTTCTACTATCATTCTTTCTATTGCAAGATTTTTCCGTATATTTTCTGTATCACTCACTTCATCGTGCATTATTCTATTGTAAATGAGAGGGTAAAAAATCAGTTATCTAGTTATGAATTTGTAAAAAAAGAACAGCTTGGATGAACTTTATGGCCAACATAAGACTGTCTATGTGTATCATAACTGAAATTTGTTTGGTTGAAATGGAATACTATCCTTGACAAAGTTTGTCTATTATCTCCCTTGACTATCACATCATGATCTCCTCCATACCAGCACACTGAATAGTTAATTGCCTCTTTTGTTAGCAATTGATGTTCCTGTTTTTCAAGCTATTTTACTTTGGAACTTCCCTTAACAAATTTCCCCAACTGGGGAACAATTTAAAACATATTTTTCATTTATTATACCAACATAGGAAGATGAGTGTCTCTCACTAAACAGCCCTACAAAATTGTTTACTAGTCTTATAAGAATAGTTTTGGTCAAATATCTATCCCATTGCTGGCTAAAATTGCAATTCACTTGGGTTGTTGGAAATGCATGTTTTTTAGATTCTTATGCTCTCCAGATCATGCTTTAAGCCGTGGGGAATTTGAGGTCCGGAGTTCTTTCGGACAGATGGATAGACAGATCCCAAGTGTGAGAGAGCAAAAAATATATGACAGGAATCATAGGGAAGTACGGACAGTCAATAATTTCTTCAGAACCTTCAGCCTTGACCATGGGCCAAATTGCTAATAATCCTGGTGTAAGGCAAACTCTGGTAAAATCCCCCTCCCTTTTGCATTTCACCACTTAGACTAAAAATTGTAACCCTGGATAGCATACAATCAACAAACAAGTAACCAATAAATTTTAAAAAGCAATACAATTAAGAATGATAATATAAAGAGCATATAGAATGGCTTTGACAGAGACAGGGAAGATTTGTTACCAAGGCAACAAACAGGTACATATGGCTTAAGCCCATACAAAGATAAAGATTTATGAAAATCTTTATCTAAAGCAGGTCTGCCCCCCCCTGGCAATTCACATGAAGATAAAAGAGGGAGAAGAGGATGCACATTCAGAAACTTACTAGTTTCTGTTACTACAGTTATTCTAATGAAAGTAATTTTACATGGCATCTGTTTCTTGATCTGGTCTACCTTATAGGGCTGATATACAATAATATACAATAATATACAATTCTGATTCTGGTGGATTTCAGTGTCCACATCTAGGGGCAGGCCAGTCTGGGAAAGTTTAGTTCATGACCTCTTTTGCAACTATGGGCACATGCTAGGCAATGTTAAGTTTAAATCAAACATTTTGATTTTCTTTCCAATTCAAAGCACTTGACTTGTTATTTGAAAAAAAAAAGATGACATTCTAATTTTGTCATGGTCAGATTACTTTCTGTATAGCTCCTCCCAGTCATATCATGTGACCTCCACAAGTCGGAGGCCTGATTGAGACAGCATGTCCAGATATCTTTTGGATCCAGATGGATTCCAATAGGCACTTACCGATTTTTATAGCAATCTGGCAGGTAGTTCCATGAAATGCTACTTTTAAATCTGGAATTCAGAGGCAACCAGGGTCATACATGTGATTGTCCTCAGCAGTTTTACTGAAAAGATCCAGGAGTGCAAATGGCAGGATAAATGCCTAGCCTGCCAGTGGAAGAAGATCCCAATAAATCTGACTGAATATTTTAAGACCTCACATTCAACTCTACACATTGGCAGGTTCTATATTTAGGCATCCCTGTATGGATTACTGCCTTGTCGTGGCGAAGGGGCTTGTGTAACTCAATGAAGCTATAAGCTATGCCGTGCAGGGCCACCCAAGACAGACAGGTCATAGCAGAGAGTTCAGACAAAATGTGATCCACTGGAGAAGGAAATGGCAAACCACTCCAGTATCTTTGCCATGAAAACCCCATGGACAGTACTAAAAGGCAAAAAAATATGACGCTGGAAGATGAGCCCCTCAGGTCGGAAGGTGTCCAATATGCTACTGGGGAAGAGCAGAGGGCTAGTACTAGTAGCACCAGAAAGAATGAAGCGACTGGGCCAAAGCCGAAAGGACGCTCAGCTGTGGATATATCTGGTGGTGAAAGGAAAGTCCGATGCTGTAAAGATTTTTTTCTCCATAGGAACCTGGAATGTAAGATCCATGAATCAAGGCAAGCTAGACATAGTCAAAAAAGAGATGACAAGAATGAACATCGACATCTTAGGAATCAGCGACCTAAAATGGACAGGAATGGGTGAATTTAACTCAGATGACCATCAGGTATACTACTGTGGGCAAGAATCCCTCAGAAGAAATGGAGTAGCCCTCATAGTCAATAAAAGAATAGGAAAAGCAATACTGGGATACAATCCCCAAAATGACAGAATGATCTCAATTCGAATCCAAGGCAAACCATTCAATATCACAATAGTCCAAATCTATGCCCCAACCCCTGGTGCTGAAGAGGATGAAATTGACCGGTTCTATGAAGCCCTACAGCACTTTATAGAATTAACACCAAAAAATGATGTCCTTATCATCATGGGGGATTGGAATGCTAAGGTAGAAGCCAAAAGATAACCGGAATAACAGGCAAGTTTGGCCTTGGAGTACAAAATGAAGCAGGGCACAGGCTAATAGAATTTTGTCAAGAGAATACGATGGTCATAACAAACACTCTTTTCCAACAACCCAAGAGACGGCTCTACACACGGACATCACCAGACGGTCAACATAGAAATCAGATTGACTACGTGCTCTGCAGCCAAAGATGGGGAAGCTCTATACAGTCAGTAAAAACAATACCAGGAGCTGACTGTGACTCAGGTCATGAGCTTCTCGTTGCAAAATTTAGGCTTAAATTTAAAAAAGTAGGGAAAAGCACTAGGCCACTCAGGTATGAACTAAATCATATTCCTAATGAATAAACAGTAGAAGTGACAAATAGATTTAAGGAATTAGATCTGATAGAGTGCCTGAAGAACTATGGATGGAAGTTCGCAACATTGTACAAGAGGTAGAAACTAAAACCATCCCAAAGAAAAAGAAATGCAAGAAAGCAAAATGGCTGTCTGAGGAAGCTTTGCAAATAGCTGAGGAAAGAAGGGAAGCGAAAGGCAAAGGAGAAAGAGAAAGATACACCCAATTGAATGCAGAATTCCAGAGAATAGCTAGAAGAAATAAGAATGCCTTCTTAAATGAACAGTGCAAAGAAATAGAAGAAAACAACAGAATAGGGAGGACCAGAGATCTCTTCAAGAAAATTGGAGATATGAAGGGAACGTTTCATGCAAAGATGGGCATGATAAAGGACCAAAATGGCAGAGACCTAACAGAGGCAGAAGAGATTAAGAAGAGATGGCAAAACTACACAGAAGAACTATACAAGAATGAGCTTAACGTCCCAGATAATCACAATGAGATGGTCACTGACCTCAAACCAGACATCCTAGAATGTGAAGTGAAATGGGCCTTAGAAAATCTGAGCAACAACAAAGCTAGTGGAGGTGACAGTATTTCAGCTGAGCTATTCAAAATCTTAAAAGACGATGCAGTAAAAGTGCTACACTCAATTTGCCAGCAAATTTGGAAAACTCAACAGTGGCCACAGGATTGGAAAAGGTCAGTTTACCTTCCAATTCCAAAGAAAGGCAATGCCAAAGAATGTTCAAACTATCACACCACTGCACTCATTTCACATGCTAGTAAAGTTATGCTTAAAATCCTACAAGCTAGACTCCAGCAGTATGTGGATCAAGAACTACCAGAAGTACAGGCAGGATTTCGAAGAGGTAGAGGAACTAGAGATCAAATTGCCAACATACGCTGGATCCTGGAGAAAGCTAGGGAGTTCCAGAAAAACATCTACTTCTGCTTCATTGACTATGCTAAAGCCTTTGATTGTGTGGATCACAACAAATTGTGGCAAGTTGTTAAAGAGATGGGAATACCAGACCATCTCATTTGTCTCTTGAGAAACCTATATGCGGGTCAAGAAGCAACAGTGAGAACTGGACACGGAACCACTGATTGGTTCAAAATTGGAAAAGGAGTCCGGCAAGGCTGTATACTGTCGCCCTGCCTATTTAACTTATATGCAGAGCACATCATGAGAAAGGCAGGGCTAGATGAAACAAAAGTTGGAATTAAGATTGCCGGGAGAAATATCAACAACCTAAGATATGCAGATGATACCACGCTAATGGCAGAAAGTGAAGAGGAACTAAAGAGCCTCTTGATGCGGGTGAAGAAGGAGAGTGCAAACGTTGGCTTGAAACTCAACATTAAGAAAACCAAAATCATGGCATCCGGCCCTCTAATTCCTGGCAAATAGATGGGGAAGAAATAGAGGTAGTGACAGATTTTATTTTTCTGGGCTCCAAGATCACCTCAGATGGGGACTGCAGCCAAGAAATTAAAAGACGCTTGCTCCTGGGGAGGAAAGCTATGGCAAATCTAGACAGCATACTAAAAAGCAGAGACATCACCCTGCCAACAAAAGTGCGTATAGTCCAGGCCATGGTTTTCCCAGTTGCAATGTATGGCTGTGAAAGTTGGACCATAAGAAAGGCTGAGCGCAAAAGAATTGAGGCCTTTGAACTATGGTGCTGGAGAAGACTCCTGCAAGTCCCTTGGACTGCAAGGCGTTCAAACCAGGTCAGTCCTAGAAGAGATCAACCCCGACTGCTCTTTAGAAGGCCAGATCCTGAAGTTGAAACTCAAATACTCTGGCCACCTAATGAGAAGGAAGGACTCACTGGAGAAGGGCCTAATGCTGGGAAAGATTGGGGGCAATAGAAGAATGGGACGACAGAGAATGAGATGGCTGGATGGAGTCACTGAAGCAGTAGGTGTGAACTTAAATGGACTCCAGAAGATTGTAGAGGACAGGAAGACCTGGAGGAACATTGTCCATGGGGTCGCGATGGGTCGGACACGACTTCGCAATTAACAACAACGACATATTTAGGCAAGAAAAACCAAATGTACAGTTATAGTATAGGTGATTCCTTGCTCAATAGTAGTAACTGTGAGAGGGATCTCGGAGTCTTAATGGACAATCACTTAAATATGAGCCAGCAGTGTGCTGCAGCTGCCAAAAAAGCCAACACAGTGCTAGTCTGCATTAACAGAGGGATAGAATTAAGATCATGTGAAGTGTTAATACCACTTTACAATGCCTTGGTAAGGCCACACTTGTATTACTGTATCCAGTTTTGGTCACCACACTGTAAAAAATATGTTAAGACTCTAGAAAGAATACAGAGAAGAGCAACAAAGATGATTAGGGGACTGGAGGTTAAAACATATAAGGAATGGTTGCTGGAATTGGGTACGTCTAGTTTAATGAAGAGAAGGACAAGGGGGGACATGATAGCAGTGTTCCAATATCTCAGGGGCTGCCACAAAGAAGAGGGAGTCAAGCTATTCTCCAAAGCGTCTGAAGGCAAAACAAGAAGCAATGGATGGAAACTAATCAAGGAGAGAAGCAACCTAGAACTAAGGAGAAACTTCCTGACAGTTAGAACAATTAACCAGTGGAACAACCTGCCTCCAGAAGCAATGAATGCTTCAACACTGGAAGTTTTTAAGAAGAGACTGGATAGCCATTTGTCTGAAATGGTATAGGGTTTCCTGCCTGAGCAGGGGGCTGGACTAAATGACCTCCAAGGTCCCTTCCAACTTTATTATTATTATTATGGTATACTTCCGGACTACCTACAAGGTTCAGAAAGACTGATTTGCCATATTTCTACCCCTTCCTAAGTGGGCCATTCCAGACAGGGATGAAAGAGAGGCCAAATCAGTGAATGTTCTGTTATGATATCCCCTTGCTTTTCATTATTTATCTGAAATTGCTAGGAAAGATCATCCATTGGTTAGGATGAACCAATATATCTTAAGTATATTGAAGACATTGAATTATACTATTCCAAGCTGAGATGGAGATATTGACCTGTGTCAATATGGATATGATAAAATTAATTTAAATTGAACGGTGGGAAGACTGTTCTTTTTTTCCAAAACTATCTGATTTTAATTATTGAAGGCTGTAAGATGGATTATTACAATGTTCTTTACATGTGACATGAGCTTTTAAGGACTACTTGGAAACTATAATTGTGAAAGATGTGACAGTCCACTTCTCAATGGGTAACAATCATATAACTATACTTCACTAGGTTTGTAGGCCTGATTTGGGTACATTTCAAATGCTAATTTAATCTGTAAAGCTTTCATGACTTGGCTCCCAGTTCTCTCCAGAACTGCCTCTTTGAAGAAAAACCAACCTGCCCTATAAGTTCATTCCATAAGCTAATATTTAAAGTTCCTCCTACTTGAGATATTCAAGGGAATGGGAACAGGGTTTCTCTACTGCAGTTCCTTCAATTTCAAATATTCTCCTCCCAGAAGGTCAGTTGGTATATTTCCCCAATGGAGAGCTATTAAGAGTGCTGTTTTGTAGAGTCTTTAACCTGGAATAGTCTCCAATGGGATTCAGCACCAGTGGGAATTGTTTAGATAAACTGTTGAATTTTTTTGATTGTTGTGTCTTTATAGATATTACTTTGAGCTACTAGTCTTTCTGAGCCTGGCATTATAAAAACATAATAAATAAAATATACAAGTGCAAGTTTAAAAAAATATTATCTGATTTTACATATTATAACTTCTGTTCTAGATGTATATATTGAGAACAAAAAGCAATCAAACCTTGAAAGTTCTTCCAGTTTAGATTTAGCAAACTCAAGGCTTTTCCTTTCCACGTGTTCATGTGGTGTATGAGCTAGAAGTTCATGAAGGGTGATAATATATCTAGGAATCTAAAGGATTGAAAATATTGATCAGTAATGCTTTTTAAATGTATAATTAATTATAACTTATGTTTTCTATCTTGGATTTTCTTACAGTACAGTACCCAATATAATACAATCTAAAAAATAGCATTTACTATTTCAGAAATCAGAAAATAGAATTATAGAGTAGGAAGGGATCATTGAGGCCACTGAATTCTTGGCTCAGCACAGGAGTCTTCAGAGTCCAAAAATTACTTTAAAATAGCAATACTAATTCAGTGAAGTAATATGAACATAGCATACATCTGTTTCTGATGATCGCTAAACCTTAAATTGAATCCGTTTTTTTCCCCAAAGTCATCCAAAGTGAAACAGATTAATCTTTGACCTGGCTTCAGATATGTGTGGAGTATCAGGGCAGCTATTAAAGCTCTAATAAGCTGCTTTAGAGGAGTTGCTGCTTTCATTAACTATGCTGAGGGCAGCTGTCACATAGAAAAATAAAAGTTGCTTCACTTAAATTGCTGGGGGGGGGGAGGAAAGGCTATTCTCCAATGAAATTGTAGCGACAGGTTTTCTTGACAGGGATGAACTCCCTCGATCCCAGCTGTTTTCACCAAAATGAACCTTTATTTTTCTCCTCCTAAGTGATTATTTGACAGCTGTCACTGTTAGTCTTTAAGTCCACCCTAGGACTTTAGCAGCAGATTTTTCATGAGCTAGTAACAGTATCTGTCATATAATTATTTGAAGTGGAATAATCTATAGCTGCAGAAAGCCACAGCAAGTTCTGAAAGTATGCTGCAATGAGCACAGTATATCAGCAGAAGTATTTTGAAAGCTTTTTGTCCAACCAAGGTGCTATCCAGGACCAGGTTACATATTTCTCTTATTTGGGCTTAACAATCCTTTTTAACCTGAGCACCTTGGCATCAACAGCACAGATAGCTGAGTTCATTCTCTAAGAGGATTGTGACTTCTATGCATACTTAGATGTACTTGGGTATCATTCCTGCAGTTTTATAGTGCCATTTGGGTATCCTCCCAAATATTTTAATTTTCATAGATAAAAACTGACTATAATGTAAAAATACATCACTGCAAATTTATGATTAAAAAATAATAAACAATACAATACTAATGCCTATGAAATGTCTTACAAAAAATTGTAATGACAGTATCTCTCATGATTGAACAAAATACAAAGACTTATGCTATAGCAATTTTCTTCAGTTTAGTGAGTCCAGGTTAGCCACTCTTTCTAACATCATCATTTGGGAAAGATTATTTGACAGCAAAAGTTATTCGGATGATAATAAAAATGATGCAAGCAATAAAATTACCTGAAACATAGGGTAGGTAAGGAATGTTTCAAGCATTCTGCCTTCACATGCAGTGTTGGATTCATATTGCTTTAAGAGTTTGTCAAAATCTCTGTTCTGCTTGCAGTTTGCCAGCACCTGTAGGCTATACTGGTGATTTCTAACAAATTCTTGATATATATTCAGCATTGGTAAAAGAATATCAAATAAATCAGCTACAAAGACAAAAAGATTTTTGCAGTCATTCCTTTTCCTTCACAGAAATAAAAAGTTTAAACCAAATTAATTCCATTTGTAGCATTGTATAATTACAGGTGTTAAAAAGGAAGGGAACTTTATTAAAGTTTCCTCTAATATTGTCACAATTTGACCACTCAGGAGTTCTTCCAGAACTTTAAGTGATTGATACAGTTTATCTATATTAATAAATTTAACATGAAGGCTCTTTCTAAGTGTATCTTATGCTGGGGCAGAGCTTCAAATGACAGGAAAATCACATTTGTCTTATTTCTGCCTGTAATATAATTATTTTTTTAAAAAAAAACCAAATTTCTGACTGAAGAAAAAAAAGCTGTAAACTTTATATCACAGTAATGAAATACAGTGCATCTCCCTAACATTGTTACACCTTTTGGAACAAAGAATACACAGGTAGACGCTGCAATTTCTAAATTTATCTAACAGGGCAAATAAAAAATAAAACAACTTACTGAAAGGAAACTAAAAAAAAAGCTTAACTTTCAAATAAAAAATGTAATACTATTCTTTAAACACAAAAACCAACACACAATGTTACCTAAAATTAAGGTAGGCCAGTTTGCTATTCTTGCTTTTAATCCTTGATGAAATATTTCATGAAGGAACATTATAGTTTCACTGGAGAGAAATAAGAGTTGACAAAATAAAACAAAAATTAAAAATCTGTGTAAAATATATTATTTGAAATTATCAGTACATATCATGAAATGACTATCAAACAGGCTATTGCCACCCCAAAAGCTTTGGGATGCAGTGAGTTAGAACTTTAAAAATATATAAAATTACAGAGTATTTGTTCATAGTTTTGAAATAATAAACAATATTTTTATTTAACTATATTTACTTAAAGAATTTATACAGCTGCCCAAATTGGACATTAACTCTGGACGGTTTACAAAAGAAAAAAAGATTAAATACACCATAAACAAAATCAACAAGAAGAAACCTGTGCAGAGTTCTAATTTAGGCACAAAATGAGGATGGTTATCAAGTAGCATCTGTATCTCTTTTAATAGTGGTAGGCAGAATATTCCCAGATTGGGCATTCTGTGAATGGGGAGTGACAATTTTGGACCCACTAAATTCTAAGCCAATCTGATCAGTTGAATGTTGCGAATACATGCACATCAGCTACACAAAACTCCCAAATCTAAGTTATCTAAAGAGCTGAAAGTGAAACTAAAACACCTAGATTTGCTAGGCTGAGAAGCCCAGCAGAAGTTTATCTTCTTGCAGCTTCTATCCTAAGTGCTATGATCAGCAAAGATATCAAAGAGTCCATAGATGCACCATTTGACTTTGATTCAGCTATTTGGATTATCTGTCCACTAGTTTTATAATATTCAAGGCCATATGTTATTCAATTTAATCTTGAAAATATCAACATAAATCAGTTTTCCATTTTGTTCCAATGAAACTACTGCAATTAGGGGTGAAAAACTGGAATTCACCTAGTCTTCCCCTGCAACCCAAAAGAGATAGGAAGTAAGAGTTTTCAATGTCAAAATTCTAAAAATTAAATGCAGTCATGTGCTACACATTGTACAGATTTTTAATACTATAAATCAAAGTCAGGCAGACAGATAGAAAACAATTTCATGCAATCATATTGGAATGAGTTTTTTAAAATATATCCAATAATACCTGTTAAGGAAGATGCTGCTAACATCATCATGACTAATAGGTGGTTTCTTTGAACTTGCAGCCATTCTTAAGGGCCTTAGAAAACAATTCACAAGGATATAAAGTTGATGCACATATTCAGATTCTGCCTCAACCATGTTGAAAACTATTTGGTTTCTTTTTCGCATACTTTCTGCATGTGGAGAACAAATATAATCTTGAACAATTGTCTTCCATTTTCTTCTACACAACCAACCACGCATAAAGCTCTGTACCTAAAGAGTGAATTTAAAAGAAAATCAAATTTTATTACAGTCACAGGCCAGCATTACAAATAAAAGCATTAAAAACAACAATAATAGTAAAAATAAAAATAAAGACAGAATAGTATATTGTGATTGGTAGTGGATTAACAGTGGGCAGTTAAAGTTTGCCAAATAACAGAATTTGGCCACCTTCAGAGAAACTACTTCATACTGATCTGATTAAAAAAAACATTTTAATGGTCTTTGAAATGCATATATATCCCATTCAAACATATGTACTGATATATCAGTGTTTCAAGAAAGGAATGTTTCCTTGCAATTTATGATTCAACAGCTAAAAACAACAGACTTTGGGCAAAACTTTATAAATATGATTGAAACAATATGCTGTAAACAAACAGCAAAAGTGATTGTAAACGGAGACTATACAGAGAACTTTGAGATAAGAAAAGGTACAAGACAAGGATGTCCACTATCTCCGTTGTTATTTATCCTATGTTTTTATTGAATTTGAAAATGGAAAATGAACAAGTTAAAGAAATAATGATAACATGGGCAAAGAATTTTGGATATAACATAGATTTAGAAAAATGGCAAAACTTGTGGGAAAGAAATTATAGATTGACAATGTCAACTTCTTATAAAGAAAACCTATATAAAATATTTTATAGATGGCACTTGCCACCAGCAAGGTTAGCAAAAATGTTTAAAAATATGTCAGATAGATGTAGGAAATGTAAACATAAGTCAAGTACTTATTATCATGTATGGTGGACATGTGTTAAACCAAAGAGGTACTGGACAAAAATATATACTTGGCTAGAAAAGATGTTGGGATAGCATGTAGATTTTAAACCTGAACTTTTTTTACTAGGTATAATGCCAGAAAAGATTGATAAACAAAGTATATACTTGATTTTACATGTGATAACAGTGGCAAGAATCATATTCGCACAATATTGGAAAAATGAAGAAATTCCATCAGAGAAAGAAATAATTTAAAAAATACTGGAATGTGCGGAAATGGACAGACGTACTATGAGGTTGAAAGAAAAAGAAGAAACAGAATACTTTCAAATTTGGGACTTATTTTATCAATGGCTGGAGAAAAGAATAAAGGTTTAGGAATTAAATTTGTATTAGTGAATGATAAATTCAGACAACACGTTTGTTGAATAAATACTACTGAATTGTATTAAAAAAATTAATAAAATCTACAAAAGAAAAAAGATAAAGTAAGGAAGACAAGCATGCCTGCAGTTAGCAAAAAGAAAGCGGCAACTACTTTTCCACTTATTCTAGAGCATGCTTAGAAAGACCAGAATACTTTAGCTGATCTTAGAATATTTGGCATTGTAGATTGGCTCAGAAAAGAGAGACTATGTAGCATGCTTGCTTTAGGTAGAGCAAAAATGTATTTATGAGAGTCACATCTGAATAACAGAACTAAATTGAACAAGTTCAACAAGCCATTCTTCACATTTGCTTTGGAGGATATGTAATGGAACATGAAGGAAAGTGAACAATCAGCAACCTATTAAAACAGCCATACCTGCTTCCTAGATGAGGATGCAGCTACTTTAATGAGTTTTCATGCATTTTAGAATACTTGAACACTCAATCCCAAACTCTGCATAGGCTTCTACTTAATACTCTATTTTTACCAACTTCTCACTTTTAAAATCAACTGTAAGGAAAACAATAACTTAGGTCTATACAATAAATTGTATTGATTTAATTGAAAATTAACTGTAGAGGACTAATGTGGCGTAACAGTTCAGTCAATGGATTTGAGCTAGAAAAATTCAGATTCAATATCCTAGTGTTTAGTTGATGACTTTTCACAAGTCATTCTCTGATGACAACCCAAGGATGTTGGAAACTTTAGGAATAAAATGAGGAGTGAATTGATCCATGCACACTACCCTGAGTTCCCAGAGAAGACAGGATATAAATACATCCAGTAAATAATAAATAATAATTGACACACCTGATGCCTTTATTCATGATTAAGCAGTGTAAAACAAACAAAGTATTTTCTATCCAATGCATGTGTCAACATGCCATAGATATATAAACCTAATGTAAAATGTAAAAAAGAAAAAAAATCCTGCTAATAATAGGACCTACTGACTCAAGTGTCATTATCATCCATAATTGTACGTTTATAGAGCACTTCAATAATAATGTACTGTTGGCTATATAAACTTTTAATTTTTTCTTCCCTTTTTTTCTCTTTTCCCTCTTGCAGCACCAGGGTAGCAACTATTATTATTGTTGTTGTTGTTGTTGTTATCCTCCCCTTAAAAGACGTTCATCTCAAACTTATTTTTTTTTCAGTAATAGCTTATGTTCAAAAGCTTAAAAATGCAATAGTCAGAATTTTTTTCTTTATAATTGTTTTCACAGAGTACTTTGATACATGACTTTTTGTCATGTGGACCTTATTAAATCACTGTCTCTTTCACCAAACAGTTCATCAAGATAATTAGCTGTTCTGGAACACTTACTAAATGTTATGCTGCTCAGTTCAAATGAATATATATTCTCCTTAATTGAAAGAAAAAAATAGGAAATGTTATCACTTCACAATCTAAATGGAGTGGAAAAGTGGAAAAGTACCTTTTTAATCTTTTTAATATCTGGATTTTCTTCTTCTTGATTGCCTTGATATGGTCTCATTCGTTCTTTTGTTTTATTGAGAGCTACAATCTGGTAAAAACAACAAACAAAAATGTAAAATCTTAAAGTTTTTGACCGATTTCAGAATATCACATGATATTTTGAAGATGTAATTTCAAGCCCCTGGAACTTTGAATAGTAACATCTCACTGGTTTTATAAACTTTCAATATCTGAAAAAGGATTATATAAATTAACACTCAGATAGGCAAAGGGATATCTTTTATGTTCCATTAGCTGAAAGATATAATGACCCATAGCAGAATCTTTCAATTACATTACTCCCATGAGAATTTTTTCAGGTTAAGACCATGTAATATGCATTATACGAAACAAATAAGGTCCAACAATTGTTTGATCTTAAAGTCATAATTTTTTTTGTACTTGAACCTAAAAAAGCAGGATTGTTATTAAAGCAGATTGTCAGAGTTTGCTTTTAGATTGCCCAGATTAGACTAACAAGCAAAGCAATCCATTTTAGAAAAAAGACAACCATTCCAAATAAAATTCACAAACAACCTTGCAAAACTAATAAAATGATTAATAAACTTAAAACAACAAAATAGAAAGGTAATAAGTTTCATATTCAGGTGTGACTCCTAGCCAAAGTTTCATTATAATTATAATTATAATTAATGACACTTTTGCCAATGACTGAAAAGGAAGCCAGACTATGAATTAGACCGCAGTAGCATCACAATAAGAATGAATTTTGAACTATACCTCTGATTTAAGCCTTTCAATTTCTGTGTCTTGATCTTCAAGCTGATGACGTAGCTGATTTGCTGAAATCTTTTCTGTCTCTACAATTTGAACTAGATGGATATATTTTTGCATTAATACTTCCCTCTCAATCAGGATATCTGAATAGCTACAAGTTGAAAAAAATAATTAAAATGTTTGTTAGAAATTATATAGGCAACATATTTAAGCAAAGTCTAAAATATTAGGTTCCATTATTCTTAGTAAATAAATTAGTAAGTGTATTCCCACATATTTTTATGTTTTAAAACTTATGCATAAATCTTTCCAGGAATATTTAAATATGCAATGCTGAGAAAAAGAGCTTTATTGGTAAAATTGATGTTAAGATACTCTTTATGTTTATCAAAACATAATTTATTCCATTAGGTGGTTTTCAACCAGTAAACTTCCTATTATTTTATATAAATTGTAGCTACTCTATATATTCACAGGGATTCTACATTGGTTTCTCTAGTATAAAATCAGTATTTAATTTAGGTATACATAAAATAAACAGTTTTTAATAAATTCATTGTTAATTTCAATGAATATTGTAATATAATGTGCTATGAAATGCATGCTTTATGTAACTGATATTACACAATAGAAGTATCAAAGGTCCTTTGTAAGACACTGGTCTTAGAAAAACTGATTTTTCTTTGGTCATAGCAATTTGACATATATTTGTCTCAAGGTATAAAGCTAATTAGTATGGAAATGCTTTGTTTGGCTTTGGGACAAGTGTGAATTTAAAAAACTGTAGTATTGAGTGATACCACCTTCCAAAGAGGCATTTTATTCCCAGTTCCTGGAGGTTTACTCCACCTCTTCTAGTTATAAAGTAGGACTTCTTGTGTCATGCAGGAAATGCTCTTTCAGTCTTGTACACTGTGCATTTGGAAAAGTAATAGCCATCTTCCAGGTTCTGAGACAACAGTTAAGCAAAAGAGCCTTCTGGTAGCTCTCTACAAGCAGGAAGATAGCTAAGATAGCCACAGAGAAAGTGGCAAGGGAAATTGAGGAAAGAAATGCCAAGGAATGTGTTGCGTCCTTCGCGAAATGGCAAGACACGAGAAGCAGTTGTAGTTCTCAAAGACTTCTTTATTCTTAGTTCAGTTTACAGTTGGAAGACGGCGGCAACGCCCCAAACTCTTGGCCTCTTATATAGGCCATTCCCGGGTCAATCTGCAACTTTTGGCGCGCCAGCACTTGCGCATGCGCACAAGTACTGGCGACAGCCTGTCTGGTCCCGGGCAACTTGCACCTGTCCGGGACTGTTTGCAATGCCCCGAGCCTGCTTGCACAGGCTCAGGACATAACACCCCTTCCCCCCGGGTTAAAACTATTAACCATGCCATAGTAACACATAACCCATTTCGAGTACAGTGCCATACTACCCAATGCCAGGTATTACCTTTGCTTCTATTAGTCTAAGTGTTCTGTTCCCTCTGTTAACTCTGTTTTGCCAATAGAGTTACAAAATCTTCTAAATACTTAGGAGATTTCCTGGCTCTTTGTGACCTCCTAACTGCTGGGTACCTGCCAAGTACCCCTTGACTGAGGGGTGGTGCGTGCCTATCCCCCTTGTTTTGCCTTGGTGGTTCCCAAGGACTGTGCTCCAATGCCTGGCCTGCTTGCTTGCCCACCGGGCTCGTCAGGCCAGGGCTTCTTTCTTTGTTTAACCTGGTTGTCCTGCCTTGCTGCAGGCTCTCTGGCCCCTCTAAGTGACTGTCACTGTTGGGCGATTCTGTAGAACCTCCAAGGTCCATCCAAGACCTGTCAGGAGGTTGTCTGTCCCCTAGTTCCCGTTCTGTCCCCAGGCTTGTGGGGTTTCCAGTACTGTCCCAAAACTCAGTTGTCCCCTGAGTGAATTCAGAGGTATTGTAGTCGGGGTTTGGTTCCTCGACCACCTCCCTGTATGTTTGCCCCCTTCTAGGGACAGGGGTAGTGTCGGGCCAACTAGAAGGAGTGTGTGCCAGCTCTCTTGCGGGAAATGGTTTATTGGGATGCTATCGGGTATCCTCCCTGACTGGAGTACTGTGTGATGCGGATGAGTAGTGATTATGCCCCCAGGGTGACTCCCTGGCTGGAGTAGGCGTTGATGCCTGGTATCTAGTTGGGCTCCTTGAATTCCTGTTTGGAGCACTTGCGGAATCTTGAGATGAGCCATTTGTGGCTTCCTCATTGATAGTGGGCAGCAGCCCATGCCCTTCCCTTTGCCCAAAGGGGTCCCCCTCCCCCCCTGGAAAAGACCCAGGAGTCTCAGCGGGAAGGTCCCGTCTAGGGCGAAGTTGGTCGATGTGTCGACACAGGACACGACCGTTGTCCAGGGACACCTCGTAAGACAGAGGACCTGTGACCCTGGATATAGAAGCAGAGACCCATGAATGACCAGGCCCGTAATTACGAGTCCAAACCGGGGCACCCACAAGGAGTTGTCTAGGTGCCCTGGGGCGTGTGTAAGAAGAAGGCAGTCTATCCAGATGCAACCGGTCAAGCTTGGTAGTCAGTTTGCGCCCCCAACGAAGTTCAGCTGGGCTCCTCCCCGTAGAAGTGGACGGTGTAGTGCGATAAGAAAGGAGGAAGTCAGCCAACCTGTGATGCCAGTCTCCGTAGGTAATTTTCTCAAGGCGTCCTTGGTGATGTGAACCATGCGTTCAGCCATACCGTTCAGAAGAAGTGAATTGAGGGCCATTGTCAGACACAAGGACATCTGGAAGCCCGTGTGCAGCAAAAATCCCCCTCAGTACTTGAATAGTCTTTGCAGCGGTGGTGGAAGATACAGGTACAACCTCAAGCCATTTTGAATGGCTGTCAACTAGGACCAAGAAGAATTGACCCTGAAAGGGCCCAGCGTAGTCAATGTGCACCCCCATGGAGACTGTGTTTCCTCCCATCTATGTACAGGAGCTTGTGGCATTTCGGGGCGCGAGCGTTGGCAAAGGTGGCATGCGTGCACCTTAGCTTCAATGTCACTATCTAACCCAGGCCACCACAAATGGCTGCGCGCGAGTGCCTTCATGCGTACAATGCCAGGATGACCCTCGTAGAGGGACCCTAAGACCCTAGTCCTCATTGAGATAGGAATGACAACTCTGCTTCCCCAAAGCAGACAACCCTGGAAGGTGGACAACTCGTTCCTTTTAGACCAGAAACTCTGAAACTCAGTGCCAGGACAGCTCTCTGGCCATCCAGATAAAACCTAAGAAAGGACACGTGAAAGTGTGTGATCTGTGCCTGATTCAGCGGCTACATCTTTGGCATTCAAAGGAGACTCGGGCAAGGCCTGAATGGAGAGAAGATTGATAGCTGGAGCAGGGTCAGCTTCTATTACCAGCAGGGATAACCTACTAAGGCCATCAGCATGGCCCATTTCCTTCCCAGGTTTATGAAGTAGGGAGAAATCATAGGCAGAAAGAAAGATAGACCATCTTAGCATTCTGGGGGAGATGATTTGAGGAGTTTGCTTACGTGTGGTAAACAGTCCCAACAAAGGCTTATGGTCAGTGAAGACCGTGAAATGCCTGCCATATAAAAAATCATGAAATTTTTTAATTCCAGCAACCACAGCTAAAGCCTCCCTGTCTATTTGAGCATAATTACGCTCAGCAGCAGACAAGGTTCTGGAGTAGTATGCAACAGGAATCTGAGTTCCATCTGCCCTAAGGTGGCTTAGTACAGCTCCTACCACATAAGGAGAAGCATCACAAGCGATGCACACAGGAAGGGATTCATTGAAATGTGCGAGTACACTGTTAGAAGTGAGTAAGGCCTTGGCCTCATTGAAGCTTGCTTCATGCTTTTGTGACCACTGCCACACTGCCTGTTTGTCCAATAGCCTGTGAAGAGGCTCAGCTACACTAGCCTTATGTGGAAGAAAGGAATTGTAGAAATTCAGAAGGCCCAGAAAAGCCTGTAGTTCGGCCTTAGACTTTGGCCTAGGAGCATGCATAATAGCCTTCAGTTTGGATTCAGCAGGGTGAATCCCAGTGGCATCAATTTTGAATCCCAGAAAATCAGTAGAAGGCACCCCAATTTTACATTTGTCCTTCTTAAGCTTGAGGCCCGTTTTCCTGAACCTTAACAGGACAGCCCTTAATCTCTCAGCTAAATTGTGTGTAGACTCTCCTGCAATTAAGACATCATCAAAATAGGGGCAAACCCCTGGTATACCCCGTAGTGTGTTTTCCATTACGCTTTGGAAAATTCCAGGAGCGACATTTACTCCAAATTGTAGCCTCTTCACCTTGAAGGCCCCTCTGTGGGTCACAATGGTCTGTGCTACAGCAGTATTATCATCAACAGGCAGCTGTTGATATGCCTGAGCTAGGTCAAGCTTTGCAAAGACGCGCCCCCCCCTTGAGGGAGGCCAGAATATGACTGACCACAGGAACAGGATAGGCATGTTGCTGCAATGCCTTATTCAGAGTGCATTTGTAATCAGCACAGATGCGAATGTCCCCATTTGCCTTGAGAGGCGTGACAATGGGGGTTTCCCAGGGACTGGAGTCAACAGGTTCTAGAACTCCTTGCTGAATCAGTTTGTCCAACGCAGTGTCAATTTTACTTTTTAAAGCAAAAGGGACCGTTCTTCCTTTAATTCTAATGGGAGTGACAGTGAGGTCTAGTTTTAATGACACAGGGGGTCCTTTGTATGTGCCCAGCTGGGGGCTGAAGACATCTGCAAATTCTTTGCAGACTTCTTGTAGGTCCAGTGTTTGCAGACTATTGAGCCCTGTGATGTGTATTCCCAAGGCCTCAAACCAATCGAGTCCTATGAGACTCGTTCGTTCACCCTCTACTACTGTTAGATCTAGTGGACCTTCAAAATCCTTATACTGTACGTTAAGGGTGGCCTCCCCCTTAACACACACTCTGGAGTTTTGAAAGTCTGTTAACACAATGTCAGAAGGCCTCAGCTTGGCCTGAGTTCCACTACCGGAACAAATCTTCCTAAATGTTTGCATGGAAATGATTGAAAGTGCAGACCCCGTATCCAGTTTCATAGCCAATGGAACCCCTTGTAGCTTCACCTTAAGTGACAGCTTTTTCTTAATGGGTTTGTGTGTGCCTGTCCTATAGATGCTTCTTCGCGAAGCGCAAAACCCCACCCTGTTTTGGCTGGGAACCCTGGTACCTTTCAGGTGCAATTCTTCCTGAGGTTGTACCTTCTGACAGCCCAGGCACACAACTGCAATGTGTCCTTGTTTTCCGCAGACCCTGCAGATAGCAGAGCGAAACTTGCAGTCAGTTCTCTTGTGGCGACCTCCACAACCGATGCACTTGGGGAGAGCTGAAGAGCTTCCTTTTTGTTTCCCTTCCTTCGCGGGGTGGAGACGGTCCACTTCGTCAGGATCCTCCTCAGAGTTCCTTTGGACTTCTTCCTGATGCACAGACGCAGCATCTGGACTGTTTCTGATCGGCCGCATGTTCTTGATGGTGCCGCCCGCTGCTTCTTCTGCGGTGACCTCTCTCAAGGCATCTTGGAATGACAAGTCCTCCTTGGCAAAAAGTCTCTGTTGTAACTCTCTCTGCCTTAGACCGCATACAAATCTGTCCCTCAGTCGTTCTTCGAGGTCTTTGAACTCGCAATGTTTGGCGGCTTTCCTCAACGCGGCGATGTACTCCTTTGCCGATTCTCCGGGTCGTTGATCCCTCTGCTCGAAGGTGTGGCGCCACGCGATGACGGATATCTTGGGCTGGAAGTGCTCCTTCAGTAACTTTTTTAGATCTGCGTAGCTGACAGACTCTAGAGGGACAGGTGCTGCGAGGTTCTCGGTGATTTCGAATGCGTCTTGACCGCAAACACACAGCAGGGTGGCAGCCTTTAAACTATCTTCCCGTACTTGATTTACCTTGAGGTAGTTTTCCACCCTGGCTACGTAGGACTCCCACCTCTCTGGATGTGAGACGTCGAATTCCAAAAGCCTTCCAATTTTTGCCATTTTGTAGAAGGAAGGGTCTATCTGCCAGCCTACCCCCGAATGCACGCTGGATTGGCGGGTAGCTGCCGAGTCAACGCCGTTCCTGCCGCTCAGGACTCACTTGGGTAAGCTTACACCTTTTTGCTTGATGTAAGCATCCCATCCTCGTCGCCAGTGTTGCGTCCTTCGCGAAATGGCAAGACACAAGAAGCAGTTGTAGTTCTCAAAGACTTCTTTATTCTTAGTTCAGTTTACAGTTGGAAGACGGTGGCAACGCCCAAAACTCTTGGCCTCTTATATAGGCCATTCCCGGGTCAATCTGCAACTTTTGGCGCGCCAGCACTTGCGCATGCGCACAAGTACTGGCGACAGCTTGCACAGGCTCAGGACATAACAGAATGAGTCTGGCCAGCCTGTTCAAAAACCAAAGTCATTCAAGGAAAGGGTAGCCTTCAGATGAGAAGAAAAAGTGAACCAGCCAATGAGAGTGCAATAAGTTCAATGGCAGGTAAATCTATCTTCTCCCTTTTTTTGAAGTGAGTGACACTCGGTGGCAACAGACACAACCAACTATAGAGAGAAACCAGAAAGAAAAGCACTCAAGTCATTAAGTCTTTATCAAGAATACACTTTTTTTAATAAATATTTTATTAATTTTCTAGTTTTACAATAAAATACTTAATAGACAACATGTTGTCTGGGTCAATTAGTAATTCAGTGGTATATATTAGCTTTTTCAATCTAGATCCAACATTACACCATCAAATGTTTCCTCTCTTCTTCCAATAGTACTTGTTTTCCCACACTAGGCAAATACAATTCTTATTTTTATTAATAAATATATAATTGAGCATCAACATTTTTGTTACATTTTTCTCATAATATCAATAATGTCATTTTAGATAACGTTTCTAACCAACACATATCTTAATTGCATTTGCACTTAATATCCATATATTCAATCAGTATCCTGTTTTTGCTTTTCTAATTTTAATTTCTCATCAGTGTTCAAAATGTCTCTATTGTTTAATTTCAAAGTAAGTTACCTTTGGGTAATCAAAAGCTTCTCTTATTCAAACTTCTTAGCATTTTCCTGTTTCCCTTCTCATACCAAAATCTAATATTCTAATTACAAATCTTATCTTTCAAGTTATGATAATACTATTTTTAGCAATTATCTATTCTTCACCATATTCAAACATCTAGTTAATAATATAATATCCCATCTAATGGATCAAAACCTCTATTTTCTTCAGTCTTTCTAGCTTTCTTCCTTTGCCAACTAACTTTCCAAGTCAATGCATTTGAGTCATCAAGTAATTTTTCCTCTGTGTTTTGTGTATATTGTTTGGACTAAGAAAAACCATTTGATTAAAGTATTTTTGGAAGAACAAATCCACTGATATTCACAGAACAGCCTCCCTTCTTCTCCTAACAGTTCTCCTAACAGCTCTATGTTCCATTCAATCAATTTTTCTTCCTTTTCCTCAAATGTGTTCTGAATTCTTGATTGGTAAGATGTCTTTTCCATTTCTGATATTATCACTCCATCTTCTAATTCTTCAGTTGTCTGAATCTGTTGGTTAGTTCCTTCCATTAGGTTCTCCATCTTTGGATCTGCTTCCTCAAATTTTCTTTCTATTTTCTGGGTTGCTAGTTCCTTCTTTGTAGTCATATTCTGGGTTTGTAAATTTAGATTAGAAAGTTGTTATTTTGTGTTATTTCTAGACTCATCACCCTCTCTCTTTGGGGAGGGTGCTTTGAGCAATTTTTTCCAGGAAGAAGTCTTTAAGAGTCATAAAGAAAGCATAAGGTCTCACCCAGTTTCATCCACATTGCTGAAAGGTTGCTTGTTAGTGCTTATTGTTTTCCGTTGTCATCAGCTTCTGACTGACTACACAAATGTAGCCAGTCTTTCCCCCGCCAGTTTGGGGGGCTTCCTCAGAGCAAACAGAAGGGCCACCACCCTCCCACAATCAATGAGGGTCTCCTCCTTGCTTGTCGCCTCTACGGGGCGACTTTCAACCTTTTCCAGGGTCCCCAGCGAGGCAAAATCGAACACAAAAGACGGAGCCCCATCTTCCTGCACCCATTCATTCACGACGTCATACCGGAAGCCCAAGAATACACTTTTTGAGTCTCCTTCTACTCCACTAATACTGAATAGCAATGATCTCTGGAGGATAAGATTTGTCAATTCATGTAAGCTATACCTTACATGTACAGTCAGTTCCCTCTTCAATGAATGCTTTTTCTAAAGCAGAATTATATGTACTCTTAAACTATGCTGGGATGAAGTACCTTCGTTTTTACAGGAAAGCAGCTATTTTCAATTCCAGGCTTCTGTGAAGCCTATTTATCCTGTCTAGTCACAAGCAGAATGAGAGGTCAATGGAGCAAGGAGAAGGCTACAACTCTAACAGTCTTCAGCCTAAGCAACCTGGAAGGCTCTATTTTCTATGGTAAAGCAAGACAGAAACCATATTCTATAGGGCTGCATCAGGAAAGGAATAACTCTCAGTTAATAACATTATGCATTTTGCATTTTGTCATGAATTAGATACACCTAAATTCTTCTAGCTATCTGTGATTACAATAACAAACAGACGAATGTTTTCTTTTAATTTATACCATATGTCTTATTTTGTTCCAAGAAAAAAGATACCTTTCGTAAAAACCCACAAATAAAAGCAGTAAGTTACAATTAAAAACTCTAGCTAGGCATACGTCTGATTGTTCAGAGAAATATTTACAACCAAGAAGAGCCAGTACTACAACTTAACAAGATTTTCAACTGGGTGATTGCTGAAAGTTTCACAGGAGAAAGTACAAATGTGTCTTTTCTAGTCAACTCCTTCACTAAACATGTAATTTTGAAGTAAGAAATTCCCTCTCAATCTTCTCATATTATCTGAAAAACCATAAATTCTAAGTTCAGCATTAGCAAATAATTTACCAAATTTATAGACAGGTGCAATCCTAAAGGACTTTTGATGGCAGATAAAATACAGAAAATATCTACCACAGAATAAAAGAAAAACACAGAATGCAAAATATATAGCAAAGCCAATTTATAAACCCTACCAAATGCCCCCCAGAAGGGCTGTTTCCAGCTGCTTCTCTGATATCCAATGTAAGATCCTCCTCTTAACTCCTCAGAAGGGGAATCAAAGCAACTTCTTCCAGTTACATCAGATTTCTGTCATGATGCCACTGAGGCAGAGATCAAACTATAAGTAAGCATCTTCTTTTAGAGAATGTATTTTAATGTCATGGTGTTATCAGAGTGGGTTGGTAACTTATTTCAGACTGTTTTTCAAAATATGTGGAGCTTTAATGGATAGAAAAATGCCTTAAGGCATCCATTTTGTCTTTTTCTCAATGGGAAAATCGAGCCATAAAGGGGGGGAAGAATTATATGTATATTTTAAGGGGTGGAAAATTCCAGGGGTACTAGTGGGGACTACAAAATGAATGCTGCAAGGCCACATTTGGCCCAGAAGTTGCTTTCTCTTGTTTATTTGTTTGTTTATTATATTTTCCACCAATTTCACGGTTCGAGGTTACTTGACACCATCAAAAAATGGTCTACATGCGTACATTCAGCAATAATTCTTCATGTTACTTTACTGTAACATGAATATATAATATAAAAATGACTCAAGCTGCTGCTCCTATCTCAGAAGATATGACTATCCATACAGACAAAATAGATGACTCATGCTAGGTTACTCCTACAGACCTGTGTATCAGGTATAGTGAACAAATGTGACAAAACAAGGTAAAGAGGGATTTTGCAGAGTTATGAATGATATAGAAATGAACATAATGGCCTAAACTTTTCATGTTCTGCATTATAAGAGAAGGAGGCAAAGCAGGAGCTGGTAATGGTGAAGAAATCTCCAGGAGGGAGGGAAAAAAGTAAAGAAGAAAGGAAGACATTGCCCCTTAGCCAAACCAAATTATTAGTAGCTAGTATTGGAATTTCATACCTGGCTTGCTGAATAGCCTCCACCCACTCTTCTCCATCTGCTTCTTCCTCACAACGGAGCTCCAGAGGCTTCTGCCCTTCATGGCCAAAGAGGACTGTGAAATAATACTGCAAATAGTTTTAAAAAGGTTTAAATGTAGTAATATAATGTCGTATAATAACTTCAATAAAATTAAAATGTAAATATTAACTAAATAGTACAATCAGTACATACAATGAACCCCTGCTTTGTCACAATTCATAGAGGTTTTTTTTTTTTTTTTTGGAGAAACAGATTTCTGAAATGAACAGATCCTCTATTCAGGAAAAGAATTTGGCTTCGGAAACACACCTCACATCTATTCTAATCACATTACATTGCCATTCTTAGGCTTCAGCACTAAAATTACCACAATGCTGCAGTCACCTGTATGTCATCATCAGAAAAGGAGTTTTAAGCCAAACCATCTTTGATATCTCAGCAGCCTAGCATTATGGCTTAGCTAGTTTGTACCTCCTGACTCCTTTTATAACTGAACATAGCTTTTGAGCCACTCCTCAGGCTTGCTATATCACTTGAATAAATGAGAGAGAAAAATAATAGTTTTCTGGTGGATTTGTATCCCATGTAATGCACATGGCAATAATTCAATAGGGAAGGGACTAAGGCATGAGTGACTGAGCAGAGCTTCCTAATCCAGGAACAGGCATAACTGATGCACAGCTTAAAGCTGCCTGAAGATGTCCTAGCAATGGCTGCCACTATTACTGTTTCTAATGGTGAATGAGTCATACAGCTATCATGGCTGGTAGCTTGTCTATCTACCTACTTACTTACCTACCCTTATTTATATGGCCATCCATTTCAAACATATAACTGTGTGTATTACAGCAACTAAAAACAATGTAAGAACAAACAAAAACTTACACAAGCTTCTTATGTCCTATAATTCTGTTTATTACTCTTGCAACATTGCCTATACCTGTGGTGGCGAACCTAAGGCACGCGTGCCAGAGGCGGCACTCCGAGCCCTCTCTGTGGGCACGCGTGCCGTGCCCCGGAGATGGTGAGGGACTGGCCCCCTTTGCCCTGGCCCCACCCACCCAGTCTGCCATGACCACCGTGACCACGCCCACCTGGCATCCGGTGATAAATAAGTAGGGTTTGGGTTGCAATTTGGGCACTGGGTCTCTAAAAGGTTCGCCATCACTGGCCTATACTGATAGAGCAAACAGCATGATTTAACTATAGACAGCAAGGAAAATAATTTCTGGTCTATCCAAATTTCCTTCATAAAGCATCTTATTAAATAAGTTAAAGGAATATAATCAAGTTCAGTAAAAAAAAAAATACCAATAGAAAAGCATTTGTGGACAAATAACAAGGCTGGGTTTATGTTTCCTTAGGCTCAAATACTAGAACCAAAAGCCAGGTATTCACTTAGCAATGAAAGCAGACAAAGCTGGTACCAGCGGCCTCTGTGGGAAAGGAATTCCAAGGTCAGCATTAAGCCTGGTCTCTTGGGAAAGAATTATAGAACAGAAAAGGTATGCTTTCATGTTCCCATATAAAGTGCTTCTCCTAGTTATGGGATGTCAAAGAGTGCATACATATCACAGACACTCACAACCTGCCCCTGCAGATCTTAATAATTAGATAGTACACTTATTCATGTATTAAAAACCATAAAGTTAGGGGTGTTACAATCTGACTAGTAATGTGGGATTTTAGGTAATTTTAGGACTGGCCCTGTATGATCTCTGAAAAGTTAGATTAAAATATAAAGAGCATTATTATCCATAAACTGGCCAATTAGAAAATGGTCACTGATTATCTAAACACCTTGGCGTGGTTGCCAAAATTTTGCAGCTTTTCTCATCAAATACTCAGTATGTTTAAGTTAATAAGATAGTTAATCAACTTGATGTTAAACTATTTCCAAGAGTGTAGAAAAATAAAAAATGGGCAATTCAGAGCATTCATACTCAGCATAAACAATAACAGTTTCCTTGTATTTTACTGTTAAATTAGGAAATGCTCTGTCAAACTGTACAAAGTTGGGGTGGGAAGAGATTGATTTAATAACTGAAACAACCATTTCTCTTTGGCCTGATGACACTTGATACATGCCTGCATTAAGACCTCAAGAATTCTTCTTGGCCTCTAAGAACAGAAGAAAACAAAAGAAGAATGACAGGTAATAATATAGAATATAGATCCTGTGTTCTTTTCCTTCAGCTTGCTAATATTTCTACTCTCCTGCATCCAAGGCTTTTTTTGTCATAGAACTCCCAGAACCGAGTTCCAGCACCTTTTTTGGATGGAACCTTGTAGGGTAGGCAAGGCAGGTTGTATGACGTGTGTGAGTTCTGGCACCTTTTTTTTTTTTTTTTTTACCAAAAAAGAACTGCCTGCATCTAATATTGCAGGATGGGGTGAAGTACAGCAACACACATTTATCTATAACATATAAAATAGGGAATGGTGACTTCTGCTTTTCTAGTTGTGCTGTCCTTTTTGCTGTATAGCAAAACTTGGCAAAAATACTAACATTTGTTGTTGTTGTTGTTAATTGCGAAGTCATGTCCGACCCATCGCGACCCCATGGACAACGTTCCTCCAGGTCTTCCTGTCCTCTACCAATTACTAACATGGCTAACTTTAAATTTTTAATAGACTGATAGCTTTTGACTTACAAACTGTGCTTGGTATAGATCAGTGGTTCTCAACCTGTGGGTCGGGACCCCATTTGGGGTCGAACGACCATTTCACGGGGGTCGCCAAACAATGCAGTCTGCCATTTTTTTCCCCCTTTTCCTTAGCTGTGCTACTCCCTTTTATTCTATTGGCTTTTGAAAGCCAATAGAATAGACTCTCTTGAATAGAGTCTAATTCTATTGGCTTTCAAAAGCCAATAGGAATTGTCCAGGCTGTCTCTGCCCTGCTGAGCCCACCAAAAGTCCCATTCTGCAAACGGTGCTGCACCAGTTGAGTAGTCCTCGACTTACGACCGGTTGAGTAGTCCTCGACTTACAAACAGTTGGGGGTCGCAGCATTAAAAAGGTTGAGAACCACTGGTATAGATAAAACATAAGCATCTGCAAGTCCATGCTTAAAATAAGTATGCTGTTCAATCTAATTGTCTGTATACTATTGCCTTTATACTTTTACATTTTAATTAACCTCAGGTACATTACTTGACGTTATCAGTTATACCTTCATTGTACTGAATTACAATGAATCTTTCAGCATGTAAGTGAAATTATTATCTCCTAAACTGGGCTAAAAGATGCTTGGATAGTATAACTCAAAGTAAGTTAAGGAATGATAAGTATTGTCATTAAGACAAAAAACAAACACTGAAACCAACCTCTGGCTACTGGATTTGACCCAGAATGATACTGCCAAAATACACATTCTGTTGATCTAATCTCCTTTATGACAACAGCAATCATTAGTTGATCTCCTTCAGTGAGAATTAATTATTAGAACTTTCAAAAGCTTCATATAATCAAAAATCAGAAATAAGGAGTTGTGCAACTTCGCTCACGGCATAAGAAAACTCAGTTAGAAATAGCATATTTTGTCATATAATGGCTTTCTTTGGAAAAATTTGATATATTATTTGATATACTGTATTATTAGCAGTTGTATAGTTTGCTCTATAAATCTGTTCCCTTGTCAGGCATGAACAACCAGATCCACACATGAACAGTCCAATTAGCTACTTCATTGCTAATGCCTTTTTCACAGGAATCTTCCCAGACTGGCAGTTTGCTCCTGGGCCAGACTTGATAAGGTTCAATGGCATTCAGGGGTTTGTGTATTTGTGTGTGTGTGTGTGTGTGTGTGTAAAACAATTCCAGACTAATTCCACCTTGACTCCTCCCTCCAGCTTGGCCAATCTCCTTCTGACAGTCCTAAAGTATTTTACCTGTATATCTTAAAATAAAGCAAATGCTGCAAAATGCCTTCTCAAGTGCTTTTTGATGTGAAGTAAACCCTATATTGGAAACATGTATATGTAACAGAGATTTCAACATAAATATTTTAGCTATTTGTATGCAATTGCAAAATCACACATAGGATTTAACTGAGAGTCTCCTGAGTCATAATCTAAACAGCAGAGGATTGATTTTAAAAAATGGTTCATAACTTTAAAGATAATTTCTAAGCAAATGTAACAATGTAGCCTTTAAAAGGTATTATTGTGCCTGGCATGCCTATTTAATTTTTAATAAAAAGGTTGATAGGGTTTTTAAATCTCATATTATAAGGATTTCTTTACTTCGGGTTTGGAAGAAATATTATAGAAGTGATTTTAAAATTCCACTATGGGCTATACCATGGCATGCGATAGAAGGGATAAGGAGAGGAGTCAAGATGGATAGTGTTTCTTATGCACAATTACTTAGATGGGATGGTAAAAACTGGCAATTAAAATCTTTGGAAGATTTAACACAAGAAAATATTATTTATTCATGGTTTCAGTATAGACAAATAGTGGAGAGGTGGAAGATAGATCGTAATGTGGGTTTGCTTAGAGAAGATGAGAATTTGTTAAAACAAATAAAAGATCAAAGACGAACTCATATTAAGAGAATTTATGGGGTGTTAGTAGAATTGGATTCAGAAGCAGAATTAGTTAAAGAATGTATGGTTAAATGGGCACAAAATTTTGATGAACCGGTTCCATTAGATACCTGGGAGATTATTTGGGTGAGGAATGTTAAATTTACACAAGCCCAAAATTTAAGGGAAAATTTTTATAAAATGTTTTACAGATGGCACCTTGATCCACAAAAAATGTCTCATATGTATCCTGATTTGCAGCCTAAATGTTGGAGATGTGGATGTTTGGATGCTACTTATTATCATATCTGGTGGTCATGTAAAAATATAAAAGCTTTTTGGATTAAGATATGGTGGAATATTCAAAGAATTTTTAGAAGAAGGATAAAATTTACCCCACAATTGTTCTTGTTAGGTATTGTTTCTGATTGTGATAGTAAAGAGACTATATTGATGTTAAATTTAATCACAGCGGCCAGGTTGTTAGTAGGGCAATGTTGGAAGAAGGAATCTTTGCCTACTTTGCAAGAGTGGTTTTTAAAAGTTTCTTATTTGG